GAAATCTCAAAATCCCTGTTTGAGCACCACCCGGGGTTGGTCCTCTCCCTTTTTAAATTGGCCTATCTTCTGCCCAGAAGTCTAATCTTTATACAGGGTGATTCTACTATAAGTGTGTTGTGACTTGTGATTGAACTCCTGCTAAACGGTTGGACCCCAATTTTAATGCATTTTTGACATTTTATGTCTTTGCTTTGGCACATAGAATCGAAAAACGTTACGTTACAAAAAAACGGTAAGTTTTTAAAGTAATTTAACCATAAAAATGAATGTATGTTTGTCTGTCTGTGTGTCCATATTATCAAAATATCATGGCAACCATTTATATATTATTTTGAGATTTCAGATGGAATTTTTTGTATATACCTAAATGGTTGCCATGCTAATATGTAAAACATATTATTCATATAGAGTTGGCATTTTTAATGGGCAACGAAGTGCACGGGATCAGCTAGTATACCTAATATAAAATAAAAAATATAAAATAAAAAATAGTTAAATTTTAATAAAGACAAGCTATAACAAAACTGAAATTTTGACTTACACATTACTCAATTACAATTGTTATAGACTATATAGTTAACTCTCAATATGTCGAAACTCGAGGGAAACATAAAAAAGTTGGAGTCTTAATGTAATTTTAATACTATTTCAAGTCGATTTCAATTGAGTTTGAGATAACGTAAAATTTAAGGCATCAACGTTCGACATATTACGAATCAGTCGAATCTATTGTGAAAGTGTACTAGTTAGTAGGCAGTCTAAAAAACTGAAACACAATGCTGCTATGAAATATGAATATTATATTAGATAGATAATATTAATGTTTATTTAGATTTTATCTCAATGGCTAGAATTTATACAATGTCTTACTTTTTATTCTTTGGCCGTCATAACTAAAATCCTTCCAAGTTACAATAATCATATTATATTATAGTCTCACCTATGACCTATCCATTCCATGCTGTCATTTTTCCATACATAGTTATTATCTACATTCGTGTTTTTTCCTCATCATTAATAAACAACACGCTTGTATTTTCAAGTAGGATGTATTTACAAAAATATAATAAACTACAGATCTACTAGACAGTACATGCAGTAACTAGTAACTATACAGTATTTTGAAATTACTGTGGACGTCTTTGCGGTTGTTGTAATGAAGCTGATAAAAAAACAATGTCCTTGCATAGTTGCGTTATCGACGGCAGCCCCGTGAATCCAACACAACGGTTTCCATGCTCATCGGACGGCAATCGACGGTGTAATTTAAATAAATTAATCATAAATTGTATATTTAAATAAGTATGACACAATAATATGTAAAAAAGTATATTATTGTATTCTTAGCGAACGGCAGTGTTGCGGTATATAGCGTAATACCGTCGTAATGAGAGACACACCTAAAGAATAGTTTTGAGATCGGCTCGTAAGTCCGACAGGATATATTTTCTTTGTTTTAACGCGTGTTATTTGCAGTTATTTTGTAATAATTAGTTTTCTAGTCTTATTCTTTTACATTTAATCCGAATAAGAAAGATGCTCTTTAAGTTTTTCGCACTGGCGCCGAAATTGTATAATTACGTAACACAATTGGCTACGGTACTGCCAAACAATAGCGTAATTAATAAAGTTATAGGTTATATATTATAATATATTAAGCCACTTAGAGGACGCTCACATGTGTTGTCTCCTTCTTATAAAATATATAATAGGTACATTGCAAAAACGGTTTTGAGCGGGAAAGAATCACTCAGTTTGTAGTCCAAGCTAAGCAACCAAATGTTCACATTATAGAGAGGAGAAAATAATGAATTTTCAAACTTGAAAGTAGCGTCAGCTTAAAAAAAGACCACAATAATAATAAAACGGTTACCGATCCACGATATTGTCAAGGCTAATCAAAAAAAAAAAAAAAAAATTGTAATGAAAAAAGTGTGATCGAAATACCCACGTGCAAAAATGCATTATTCGTATGTGGACTGTTTATAGTAAAAGAAAAACCGGAATTCTTTTAATAATTTGTGTAGCAAAGAGGGTCTAATGGTACCCATAGATAGAGTCCATCGAACAACACGTTTTGGTTTTTTGATACTTAGCTGGTGAGTGGTCATTGGTCAAGAGTCAAGATTCAAGGGTAACAACTTCGGAAAATACAATATTCTATAGACATTTTCAAACGTATTTCGGAAATAATAATCATATGATATACCTATATACTTAAGATCCTGAGCGATGAGTTAGTTCTACGTATAATGATGAAGGTAATTTATTTTTATTTAATTGTTTGTGTAGACAATATTTTGATGTAATTGGTAATTAACAGCCATTAATTAATAATATGTGATTTTTTGATCTTAAGGGGATTCGATCCGGTGATTTAATAAGGGGTCGTGTATAGGCAATTCGATGTATTATAATCGTTTCGCAGTGTGTTTGTGTGCGAAATAAATGATCATTAGTGTGCGTAGATATACGTTCGGAATCAGTGGTTCGCACCCGCATGCACATGTCACATAATAAAATATTTGTTCCAACGAGAAACTAATTTCAATCAATTGAGACCTAAAAGCCTGACAAAAATACGATAACTTAGAATGATCGGATTTTAGTTCTGTAAACATATTTGAATTCATCGTTCTTTTTTCTAGGTTATTGTGGGAGTCGATTTTTGAATAACTGTTTAACTTTTTAAAGAAAGACACAAACAATTTTCAAAAAATTGAGAAATCGAAGTATGATTTAACGTGAATTCTAAAAAAAATATCGAAAATTGATTCCCACAATAACCTAGGAAAATTGTCAATGAACTCGAATCTTTTTACAGAATTGAAATCTGATAATTCTAAGTAGGCGTATTTTTGTCAGGCTTTTAGGTCTAAATCATGAAATAAATACGCTGGATCGAATCCCCTTAATATCATGTTTTCCTATAATGCGCAAGGAGCATATTAGTTAGGCTGGGTATTAAAGAGTTAAAAGGTAAAGTATTAAATTTAAATGTTAATTTTATTTTACCTTTTTAACTTAACTAGTTACTTTTGGCTTTTCATTAGGGAACTTAACTGTTAACTTACTAAATTTCTTTTTTAATTAACGTGAAATTAACCAATTTAATTTTTAATTTTAAGAAGTAAGTTAAGTTAATTTATTTTGTTTATAGTTTTATTATATTTCACTATTTCAGTCAATTGAAAAATGTTGAAAAATATTTACATCTATGGTGATGCAGTACTCAATGACGGGGTAGCTAATACCTATACATTCATTAGTTCATTACTATAACACATAATTACAGTGACTTTTGGAGATTCCATGTTTTTGTCATGATTCAAAATGTATCAATGCTAAAGATTTGAAATTACAGCCTATTATTTATATTATGATAGAATATAGTGATATATTTATCTGATTGTATTTTGAAAAATATTTGAATCAAGTTATCGAGTGCTTGTCTAGCTCAGGGGCATGATGGGGGCCCTGACAAATACATTTTTGGTTTAACTGAAAAACGAATGACTGTATAGATAGGTACTTTAAATTTTAACCAAATGTTTATTTTATCATTTTAAAATACTAACGATAAAAATTTATGGATAAAAATCCATGACTAAATTCTCAAAATGATTTGACTCTTTTTGATCTACCCTATTGATAAACATCTGAAATTTAAAATTTTTTTTTAAAATCATTTTTGATAAATAATTTTTGGCTTGGTCAAAAAGCTTGAAAATGTAATACAATACATATATTTTCCTTATAAGTTGTTATACTTAATAGCAGTTTCAAAAATATTAAAGATCCCAGCTACGTTTTTTTAGAAGTATTTAAAGTAACATTTTAACAAATTTCATCAAAATCGTGAAAATTTACAAAATATAATTTTGTAGTTAGGAATGTATAAAATGTTGAATTTTTAAAGCTAAAGATTGACAAATTAAAACAATATTTATCATAAGTAGTTTCTACTATCATCAAAATATACAAAATCATTGTTTTTTTTATAGATATTTTAAGTAAATATTTGGACAAAATTAGTTATTTCAACGGAGAATATCTTACGATTTTAGTTATTTTTCTGTTATTTAAAAATATTATTCGCGTTCACTTGAAACTTTTAAAGTACATTAAATGAAATGTTTTTGGCCAAAATTAATTTAATCTAATATTTTATTTTATAGTAAATTAAATTACTTTATAGTTTATAGCATATATTATAATATCATAAATTAATATACTTAGTAATATAGGCTGACACAGACGTCTTCACTCATAATCGTTTTTCGTATATTATTACAATGATAGCGATACCAACTTGTCTACCTCACTTGTTGACTTACGAAAAACTATAATTTTTTTTTTATTTATTCTTGCCATATCGATGTCAGAATATAAAATAGTAATTATGGTTGTATAAAATTTTTGACCAAGTATAAAATACTTGGTCAAACAATCCGAATAACTGTGTTAAAAATATGTGAGGGTTACTTTAAGACGTATTTAGTGGAGTACCTACCGGAATTACATTTGGCACGGTCAATGCCAAGCAGGATGAAGTGTAATAATATTATATTTGTATTTTTTTTAATTATTGTATTTGTACGTGTTCCCTTGGTTTCTGGGGAACGTTGGTGTGGTGGTGTATGTTATATGATAATATAAATTCCGTGATATTGAAAAAAAAAACAATGCCAATCGAAAATCCCGCCCAGACTCCGTGATCTCACCTCATTGGAATCTTAATTTACCTACCACTGAACAGTGTATATTCCACAGCGCTATACTTTTAATAAGAAGGATAACTAATGCAGTTTGTAGTATATTCGAGTTAGTGTACGATGAGCGACGATTAAACAATTATCATACACTCGAACCGATCTCTTTCCCGAGTATACTGTGACTATAATATTCACGTAATCGTTTCATATATAGATACTTATAATCTATTTGGATTCGCAACTTATTCAAACCAAAGTGTGTATGCCAAACACTGCTGGGCAATGGAGTCGAGTATAGCGGGATCGTTCGGAAATGGGATAGTTTTGATCACCGGAAGTACGGGGTTTTTGGGTAAAATGCTCACTGAGAAATTATTGAGATGTTGTTCTGTGAACAGTATTGCGATACTAGTCAGAAGCAAAAAAGGGCTTAGCGCCAGTCAACGGGTTGCGGATATGTACAAGCAATCTGTAAGTATATACAGTATTTTATTTATTCAAACGTTTTTGACTCTGTTACTCACGCTTCTGAGGAAACTAACTAAGAAAATTGAAAAATCTCGACTTTCTCCAAATTTAGTGGTGTCACCACATAGTAAATAATATAGTAAACCTAGTCTTAGAACCTTTACCACAGTTATTGGATTATAATTAGTATACTATTACACATTTTGTAAATATTTTTCCTTAGTTTAAATTTTAAACCAAAAACATATTAAATGCACTATATTTGTTTAAATTTACTAAAGTAAGTTTACAACCATAGACGCAACTAAGGCTAAAGTTCTGGGAGGGGGGGGACTAACAAAATTATTTATTTAAAATAACCCATAGGGGGCTTATATCTAAATCAATATTTGGGGGGGCGGCTAAATCTTAGTCAGGGGGGCGAGGCGGAAGCCCCCTAGTCGCGAAAAATGCACACAACCCACATACAAGTTATATTATTTTTTATTATCAACTCACATTAATGAATTGTTTTGATATTTTAACTTTTTTATGATTATTTGACCACCAGAGACGACAGGAACACGCATTCCATTGCGTTCTAATCATAATATTAATATTAATAATACTAAATAATTATTAATTATAATGATATAATATTATTCTCCTTCCTGTGATCTACTGTTACTATGTTATTTTGAGACAAAAGATAATTATTTTTTACTGGAGAACTTGATTCTATTATAGTTACTATATTATACCATTGTTTAGAAATCAAGTCAGTAATCTGAACATACATCCACAACAGCATCACCATTCTTATTTACAACATTCAAACACACTTCTTGTACTATTTATATTTAACTACTATATAACTATATTATATTTAAATATACTCCTGGAGTAGTATAATTTAAGTTTAAAAAAATTCAAAATTAAAAGATTAATATGGGTGACAAAAAAAAAAAATACATTTATTAAAATATAATATAATATAATTATATTAGTAGTCGTCCCCCCGGCTGTTTCCCATGTACAACATTTATTTTTTCTTTATAAATATAATTGTAAAAAAATGTATATGACATATGTCTACTAATTATTATAATATGTAACCAATGACAGCCCTATAAATTTGTGAGCTGAAAAAAATCCATATGTTAGCTAACTTTAGGTACCTTAGCCCTTAGGCATTGAAAAAATAAACTATTAGACTACTATGGACAACTCACCTGCTGCAGATTAGATATAGTACTTGGTATAAAATTAATGTAGTTCAAACTACTCTCTGAACTTTCCTGATATCTCTAAGGACTAAGAACAATTTGAAATTCTCACGAAATTGGTCAAGTAATTGTTGATTATAGAAGCTACAAACACACATTCAACATACATTCAACTCTCATACTGTTTTAACTTTTTAAGTCATAATTTCTTTATTCAAGGCCATAAATAATATAGGCCATATATAATTTGTAACCAATAGGAACCAAAAAAATGTATACTTATGAACTTAATTCAATATTTCTAATAATTATATTAGTAATAGTAATTGTCGTATATTGTAGACTGTCGTCACTGAAATGTACACATAATATAGGTGGGAACATTTTAAATTATAAATTGTTGACATAGGTCAGGCCAATGAAGCAAGATGTGCTGAGGCAGCAATACTATTTTACTATATAACACCGCCGTACGCGCAGGCACGAGCAGTCCCTTGTCGCTGAGTTATTCGGCGAGAACGTAGGTACGACGACTGCGCGTTGCAGTTGTGAAGAGGCAGTAATAGTACGGACCGAGTATATTTAAAATAAGTGAATTATTTATGTTTGTTTCAAATTAATAAAAGTGTTTCCGACCTGAAAACCCGATTCTAATAATTTCAGACATTCTTAAGTTCTTACATTTTATAGGAGCAGCGCCGCGGGATATACGTACTATGTGCCAATAAAGTTTTATTAAACTGAATAGAACCAAGGTATATGTAGTCTTTGAGTAATTTCAACTAGATAGGAACGAACTAAGAATTGACAAGCGCATATCATCGTACCTCAAAGTTAACAGTGCCATTCTAATTAGTTTTAGAGAGTGTCATTAACTAGAGAATACCAGGGTAAGGCGTATAGTTGGTTTACCGCGCATTATCCAATATGGGTGATAGTACCACAGTAATATAGCCTATAGGCAATCTTATTAATAAACAAAAAAAAATATTCTATGTTTGAGGTACCTTTCAGCTACCAATAGAAGTTGAAAAAATACGCTGTAAACATATTCCAAGACTCAAAGAATCTATATTGAATAACTATTAACTCAATCGGTCAAATCGTTCAAAAGTTACAGTACACTCAAGAATTATATTATATTATAAAAGATTGATATATACACACAACACTCACGTTACACACACACACACACACACACACACACACACACACACACACACACACACACACACACACACACACACACACACACACACACACACACACACACACACACACACACACACACACACACATACGACGATTCTCAATGGAGTTATTTCGAAGTTTTTAAAGTCATGAAATCTTCGTTGTTAGATTAATTATTAAATGATTTTATACATAATAATATAATATAAAATAGCAACAATATTATGTCTATGGGACTATGTGTATTGTGTGTACCTACATAAATATTATATATTATAGTACCTATAAGCGAGACGATAGTAAATATTAAACTATAATATTATTATATCAAAAACAATCTTTGAGTCATTTTATTTGCTAATATATAGTAATCAGTAATATCTAATATATAATTAAAATAATACATTTAAAACGTGCGTTAATGGTCCATCATATATTTTTAATTTATAATAATTATTACACCACTATCTCGGGCCTAGACGAGCGAATCGATACGACTGCCAAACTTGCTTTTTGTTATATATTCAGGTTGTAATTTGTTAATAAATATTTTATAACTCAATAAAATTAATTACTATTACTTTTTAATATTTTTATTAACTAATATTTGACTTAGATAATTAAAAATTATTATATGTGTTATAACTTGTAGTAGAATTATATTATTACATTCTTATATCAATCATCAATGACTTGTATGATGACAATAATAAATAATATTAGTGTTTGGCTAAAATTTAATATATTCCTACATCCATTTGATTACTTTCTGTTAAAAATTATTTAATTATTTTTCAGCTATTTGACCGACTTCGTAGTGAAAAACCAGATTTTATAGAGTCAATCAGGATCATCGATGGACATTTAGATGATCTTTCGATGGGTTTATCATCATCAGACCGAGAGTGGATGGTAGAAAATGTAAACTTTGTTTTTCATTGCGCGGCTACGATTAAATTCAACGAACCCCTCGAGTTGGCATCGAAAATAAACATCCAAGGCACTGAACATGTATTGGAATTAGCATCACAAATGAAAAATCTCAAGGTAATAACTATAATAATTCAATAAATAATAACCACTTATTATATATGTAGATATAGTACCTACTATGCTAGTGTTGTGATGGTCTGTGATTTTTATTTAGTACACAGCTCAATACAATATGTTGTTTTCAGTTTGAAAGTACGTATCTATGTAAATCGGCAATAATTTAATAACTATTATAATCACATAATAATATAATAAATAATACCCACATAGTAATAATTACAATAATAATAATAAAAATAATAATAGCAAACTTTATTAAATAAAATAATATTAAAAATAATATTTACAATAACAGTACCTACATCCGGTACATGTAAATCTGTATATTGTAATTGGCTATTGTTGCGGTACCGTGTTCTTTGACGACGACGCATCGTTAATATTAGGTAACCAGACTCTAACATCATCGCTATTTTATGACCACTATATTAATTAGCCATAACAACAACAACAAAATTGGAGGGAAAAGTGTGGTGGGAGTGGCCCTTAAGATGTTGCTACACCCGCATGCGTTCTCTCTGTCTTACAAACTCGTAACATATAGCAAATTGTACTCTCAGCAGATCACGTTTAGCTCTGTTAGCTTAAAATTAGAGTGAATTGTATTATAAAATTTAAAGGTAATAATGTAACTAGTGAACCTCGTAGGGTTTTTTTTAATATTTCAATTTTAAAGTAAGTTAAATATATGAGTATTTTAAAATACTTATAACTTCCTTTAAAATTAAAATCTAAAAAAACTCTATGAGGTTTACTAGATAATCATTTTACCTTAAAATTTTATATGAGGTCAATAATTCTCTCTAATTGTTAAGCTAAACGTGATCTTCTGAGCATACAATTTACTATGTTATGCGGTTATACGACAGAGAGAACGCATATGGGTGCAGAACCATCTTAACCAGGGCCATATAGTGAAATTTGAGTTCCAATTAAAAAATATTATGTTATACTACTGTATGTTTATGCCATAATTATAATCCCTAAGGCCCCAACCCCTAAACAATTTAATTGGGCCATACTGAAAATCATTCCTATATGTACGTCCACTGACAACAACACCCATAACCCATAACAATTATTTTAATATCCAATTAAAATGTTAACGAATTTTGTGTTCTATAAAATAGGTCCCAAGAGGTAAAATGAATACAATGATTTTAGAACAACCTGTGTTATTTTTGAGTATATGTATAAACAACGTGTAGTAGAACAAATGCTTTGATTTTAAACTTCGATATATTTGAAGTGGTTGGAAAGTAAATCTACTAAGATTTTCGGAAGGTAAAATTAAAAATCCCCAGTAGGACTATTCTAAATATTTGGGAAAAAAAAAAATTAGGAAGAACAAGAATGTATACACAAAATCTGTTTTCAACAAAATCGATTTTCTTATTAAGTTTGATTCAAAATGTTCTCTAAATATTTATAAATAATCATTTTTAATACACGATACTTACAATTTTCAAAATATTTTGACTCTTTTTCAATTATTTATAGACATTTGACATTTTTACAGTTTTTTTTCTATAAATATTTAGCGATAAAATATTTTATACAAAGTTTCTTATTACTTATTAGTAATTTATTGTAAAACTAAAAAGCTAAAACAAATGTAAAGACAATTTCTTATAGACATTTGAGATTCAATTTGGATATATAAACCAAAAGGAACGGTTTTAGTAATTTTGTAGTAATTCAAAAATATCATTAGTGGGAACTTGAAATTTGTACTTATATAAAATTATCATTCATATAGCTGGTATTCAATACAATTGTATAATTTTTCTTTTTTTGTTGTCTCTGATTATTTTAAGTAAAAGAACTGAGCATTTTCAACTTTGACTCCTAAACTAGATCCAATATGTTTACTAGAAACCTCTATCGAAGTTCACAATTGCAGCATTTTTTGCTACCTACTAAAAAAAATTTGGTGTCATAAGGCCTAAGTCAAAAAATTAAAAACACATAATTGTAAAATTTCGTTTACTGCTCAGAATCCTAAATTAATCCCATATTACCACGGCAAATATTTATATACAAACAATTCTATCGGAAATCTCAAAATAATATATAAATATGGTTGCCATGGTAATATGGACACACATACAGACAGACATACATTCATCTATATCTATACTATTATATAAAATGGTAAGGGTTTTCTTGGACCGCGCTAACCGAGAAAACTACTGAACCGATTTGGCTGAAATTTTTTACTGTTATACTTGACAGTCTGCTGGAGGTCATAGTACCACTTTTGTTTAGAAAAATCCACCAGAAAAGTAGGAAATATGGATGTTAAAAAAACAACATCGGCGCCATCTGTCCAGAAAAAAATAAACTAAATAATAAAAAAAAAGGCAGGTAAGTGGATGTCGCTCAGCTGTACAGTAGGTTACAAGTTGGTCATTGTTTAATGGATTGTATTAAACTTGAATTCAATGATATAATATCATTGTATAAGAAAAACGATTCTGAACGGAGACGGTTTGTCAGTCTGTATATTTTATATTGTCATTAATTATTTTATATATTTAATTATTATTTTTTTTATTCATTGCTACGGTGATAAACAAATTGTTAGAAATTAAAATCCCATTTTAAGCGGTTTTTCGTAATTTGTCAGTACTTTTTCCTGTGGCATTAAATAACTATTGAGAAAATCGAAAATGACCTCTCTAAAGTACCATCTTGGTCCAATTTGCTAAAAGATAAGGTACTATATTATGTTGAAATCAAAGCACTCCTTCTGGTAGAAATTTTGTATACAGGATATAAAAAAAAAAAAAAAAAAAAAAATAAACACCATTGTAAAACCACTAGCTTCCTTGCTCCGCTCAGAATCTAAAATGTAGTTAATTGTTGCAGATTAAAATAATAATAGTGTATTATATATCGGTTGCTATTGGTTAATCGGGCATGTTTATTGATTTGTATTATTATTTTTCGTAGATATATTATAATGTTGTATAATGTTTGTGTGTAGATTAGACCTCTGGGAAGAAGATAGATTAATTTAACAAGGGTTAAATTTGGTTTTTTTTTATTCATCGGATTTTAGTACGGTTAGGTTAGGTTAGGATTTTGTATTGATTAATTATATCAATTCACCGTAGGTGGAATGAAGTAACTTTGATACTCTAGAGCTAAATCATACACTTACGTGCAAACAGCACGGGATCAGCGATCTACCGCAGGTAGATTGCCTACCTGATAATATACAGCTGAGAATCAGAATTTTTATTCTGGGCACAACGGAAAAGTTAAGATAAGTTTTCAACACCATACATCGAATATTAAATAACGAATTGAACAAAGTTTGAGTCATATATATAGAGTTGGTCCATTTAACGGCAACGATATGCACGTGATCGGTTTTTTTGCAATAAAAATATATTTATCATTAATACCGCTAGAAACATTTCAATACGCTTTCATTAAAAGTTTTTTTATATTGACTTGCCGATCATATTAAGCTATAAAATTTGAATACAAAATTATACATTTCATCGTTCAGAGGCAAAATAAACAACCAATCACGGGCGAAGCTGTGACGGGTCGGCTATATATGTAAATATAAAACTTATTTAAAAATAAAACAAAATTTATTAAACCACTGAAATATTTCACGAAATATTACATTTTTTTAAAATTCATGAAATTGTCAAACACTGTAAATAATAATAGATAAAATTTAGACAGCAGTCTCATATAATAAGTAGATACATAGTTTTTAGACAGCAGTTTCATTATAATGATACATCATTTTTAGACAGCAGTCTCATATGATAATACAAATTTACAAAATACAGTGATAATACAAATTTACAAAATACAGTGGTAATACAAATTTACAAAATACAGTGGTAATACAAATTTACAAAATACAGTGATAATTATTATAAACATAAGGGCCCGTTGTCCGGAATAAACATAAACAATTGGTCGACTCATAGGATAATTTAACTACAAATTTACCGTATTATAGGGTCCGTAATAGTAATACATCTATTACAAAATTGACCAAGTTAATCAAGGGACAAGTGGACTCTGCATACGCGCGAATGCATATTGACAAAGAAGATTTCACTAATAAAGTAATACAATAATACTGATTGCAGCCGGGACAGAAATATAAAGTTTTTACACTACAAAGTACAGGGCTGATGTATAAAAACAAAATAATTTAGTTAATTTTGGCGTACGCCAAGTACTCGATCGGAAAACGGCGTACACCAACGAGTGCAAACGCGGGAGCGAAAAATACCGGACGGATGGGCGAACGAGCTCATAATAATATTACAAACTTAAATGGCGGGGTCAGACGGTGGTGGTAGGGGAGAAGTCGAAAACTTGGTGGACATTACTCTACGTCTACAAAGGGTTGGCAGAAGCAAACCCTGCGTGCCACGTTCACCAACGACCTCCAAACGAACCGTTTGGTCCTCTTCCAGGCGGACCTCCTCCGCGGACCAACAGACCGTGATGTTGCCGGGTATTCCGGGACTTCGGAATATGTAGGAATCGGTAGGACAGCCGCGTCAATCAACGAGGTTTCCCCGAGTGTGTCCGTATTCGGTGCCACGATAAAAGGCCCAGCAGGCTTCGACGATGGTCCTCCAATCATAGGCACGTCCTCCAGGCATAAGGGTGAGTCAATACTCAATTCCGGTGACGACCGGGTACTCTCCTCTGCAGAATTTCCGTGGTGAAGTAGCGGTGACTTGACCACAGCTGTGACCTTTAGGTTCACTGCCAAATCCAGAACGTCAACTATAGATCGACCCTCGTTATTGGCATACATTTGTTGGAATTGTTTTGGAACTGTGGCGTCCATATTTGTATTTTAAGAGGTGATAAACGGCAGAAAAACAGAAAAATAACAGAAAAAAATGAACAGAGATAAACGTACGATGACGGGTTTCAAAAAACTATTTGTTTACTACAATAAATATACAGCTATGGTATAGTAGTGTTCTTTTGTGGCCAGCATAGTTACAAGCATAGTTACCTTGAAGCCAGCTAATAAATAAGTTTTTTTTTTAAATTATTTTATTATAAGATTTTATTATATTTCATATATTTATTTATTTATTTATATCGGGCATGTTTGTTGATTTGAGTTATTATTTTTTATGTTCCAATTTTGTGAGTACACTATTTAATATTTTAGCAATTTGTATTGACAGAGTTGTTCCAAATACCTTCCTGAGTGTCGCCGTGTAGCCCAATTTTTATTTTTTTTTATCGGAGGGGAAGGAGAAGAGAATCTATATATTATATACCTAAAATCCAAATACCACTGACTCACTGATCGCCGTATCTCAAAAACTACTCAATGTACGAACTTGAAATTTAGAATAGTGGTTCTTCTAAAACTTTCACCGTGCAATAAGAAAGGATTTGGTAAAATTCGCATTTTAAAGAGGTGCTCAAACAGGGACATTGAGGTTCACATTGAAAATTTTATTTTTAATTATTAATAGTTCCGAAGATCAGGAAGATCAGGTACAAGCTTGCATCAAATAGAATTATTGAACATTGTTTACCAAGGTGATTGGTGAAAAAGTTTCTCAAGTAGTCGGATTGCCTACCAGGGTGGCTGAGTTGCACTTACTGCAGGCTGCAGCAAGTTACACCCAAAAGTAGTTGAACAATCATACATTTTTAAGATTTGCGATTTTTTACGGGTAATGAAATGAACGGGTTCTGATATAAAAATATATTTACCATTAATACCGCTAGAAACATTTGAATACGTTTTTATTAAACGATAAAATTTTAATAAAAAATTATACATATCATCGTTCGAAGGCCAAATAAACAACCAATCATGGGCGAAGCTGTGACGGCTCGGCTAGTTTTTATATATTATATAGAAGATTGACAACCAACGATTTTATTTGTTAAAGATCTTGCTTTTTAGGCAAAGTATGGTGGGTGGGTAGACCCTCTCCTCATAAAAAAAGGGAGGGCTTTTTTTGTTGGTAATAATTTATTTGATATATTTGATGATACCTTTAATATAAGATTAAGCTTATATTTTGGTGTAGCCGTGGAGACAATAGTAACAAGGTGTATAATAGGTCACTTCCCTATATTTCCTCGTGGATATTATATTGGACATTTGGACGAGTACCGTATAGTTTCTTTATACTTTCTATATTTTATTATTATATAATATATTTTAAGCGCAACGTATTCAAATTGTACAGGGTTTCGTGCACGTGTCAACAGCTTATTCGCACTGTCCGAGGAGTCTAATCAAAGAAGAATTCTATCACGTCCCAATCACGGCTAAAGAACTAAAAAATGTAATTGTTGACGAGGAATTCTCTTTGAAGTAAAAAATAATATATTTGTTGATAAATAAACGTTATTCTCTTATTTTGATTAATTTAATAATGTAAAATGTGAACAATAGAGTTTTGGAGGATTGGCCCAATACGTACACTTTTACAAAAGCAGTCACAGAAAATATGATACTAACCAACGGAGATCACTTGCCAATATCAATATTTCGTCCATCGATTAGTAAGAATAATAGGGTTCATTTTTATCGCTGAAAAGTATATTATATTAGGCGTTAACTCGTTTCTTATGAATTCTGATTTTATTACTTGAATATTTGATTAAAGATTATCAGGATAAATGTATCAAATTGTGGTGTTAATTGTACCTATAGCTAAAAATGAATACACACGAGTTGTATCAAATTAATATTATTACAGTCGGATGCACGAAATCTGAACCAGAACCTGGCTGGTTGGATAACATGAACGGACCAACCGGGCTGGTTACCGGAGTCATGGTTGGATTTTTGAGGACGGTACCAAACATCGGGAGCAATATAACAGACATTATCCCTGCCGATTACACCGTCAACGCATTGATTAGCGTCATGTGGGACACGGTTAACAGGTGTGCAATGACATAAAAAATATTCATTGTGGGTATACAGTATACACGCAGTGTTTAAAATAAAATAATATTACAATAACTGTTTTGATAATTTTCAGACACAAACAGTCGAATGGAGTGAACAAGGTACCGAAAATATATAATTACGTTTCGTGTGTCGAAAGCCCTTTGACTTGGGGTAGATATATCAGAGAAATGCACGATCATTATTACGTAGCTCCTCCTTTGCAATCGATGTGGTACGGTTTTTATATTTTCTATACGAATTTAATAGTTGGAAGTATTTTGAGATTTTTCTTACACCGAATACCAGGCGCATTTATGGACTTGTTATTGATTTTGTGTGGTAAATCTCCCAAGTAAGTTTTGATTACTTTGTTTATTATGGATATAAATTATATTAAAAATGTTAAACCTCTGCAGCTAATGCTTGAAAATGTATTACAAGGTTTTTTAAAAGAAGTTCATACTTATACTGATACCAAAATATTTAAACAGTATTTAAATATTTGCTTAACCTTAACTTATTTTATTATACTTTGGGTAATTGGATCTAGTGTTGGTACTTTTAGAAGGTCAAAATGAATAATTCCTAGTAATTTAAAAAATAATCCAGAAAAACAAAAAACGGGAACTTTTAAGCAAAACTAGTTTTCGACTAAACTGAATTAACTTTTTTTTGTACTTCAAAAAATTTAATATTACCTTTGACTTGAAATTTTTATTAAATGTTATAAGATTTACTGAACATGAAATAATTTTCAAACATCTTAAATTCTTTTGTGCTAGTCATTTGACTTTTTTAGTTTTTTCTTTTCGATTTATGTTATATATATATGATAACATTTTTATTTGTGTGTACTAAGTTTTTATAATTTAATACAAGGTTTATTGTAAGCTATTCTTGCAGAAAAATAAAATTTCTTGTATAGGTATACATTGTTACTATTTATTTTATAAGAATTCAAAGTTAAAGTTTTGACGACATTGGATATTGTAATGTATAATAATTATTTATCCTTGACTTGTTATTTCGTTAGTATTCAAAAATGTGTTTTTTATATAGTATTTAAACTTACTATTGAGTTTAATAATTCAATTATATTATGCATTTTCTTAGCCCTTAAGTACTTAAGGCCCCTGAAAACCCTATTAATTTTAAATCAAAACGACCTTAGCGACTGACAAAAATTAAAGTACTTCTAGTGGTTCGGTTTAAAAAATGTAAAAATGTTTTAATTGGTCACTATAAGCTTATAAATGTATAAAATTTTAAATATTTATTCTCGTCAAGAATATGCTAAAATTGAAAAAGTGGTCCAACCGATGCAAAGTAGACTTGTTTACCAACACAAACATCTTTACATTTTTTAAATCGAACCATTAGAAGTAGGTACCTTAATTTTTGTCAGTGAGACGGATATTTCACGTCCATAAACTGGTTTTGAATATTTTGATCTAGACATTAAATTACTTGTGCGTGTGCCTGCGTCCGACCATAAAAAATATAAGAAATAATAATGTAAGTATTGTAAATTGATTTGGGTAGCAGGTAATGGTAGGGGAGTATACACACATTAATGATCATTTACTATACACACAAAGTCGATCGGTAATCGCAGGAACAAAACTGTACCACAGAAGTAAACTAAGGCAAGTCTATTTTTTGAAATTTTGAATTAGTTATATAATCAGAATATGCTTTTTGTGATATTTTTAAAGGTATCAACACGTAAGTCCTATATACAATAAATTCATAGATAGCAAGAAGTATAGTAACGTAAGTCCTAAACTATGTATGATAGGAGTATAGAAACGTATGTCCAGAGTTTACATAAGAAAATTATATACATAGATAATAAAAAATAATATTTTTGAAGTATACAATGGTAAGTCCTTGCAACAAATATTTTGTTTTGTCTCTCCTGTAAAATTTGCTTTTTGTGACTTGCGTTAGTTGTCTTCTGTGGTACAGAAAATAATTGCCTAAACACAACTTCTTTAAAATGACACATTTGTAGTCGCCTTAACATGTAGCTTATGGAAATGATTAATATCAAATGTATCATTATTATTTAGAATGTTGAGGATGTATGCGAAAACAGAAAATATGATCGATCTACTTTATGATTTTTCTACAAGACAATGGATATTTGACAATAGCAATTCAAGAGAATTGTGGTCGTCGCTAAGTCAAGATGACCAGGAAAAGTTTCGGTTCAGCTTACAGGAATTTGATTGGAAATCATATATAAAAAGCTATTATTACGGGATCAGGAGACATGTACTGCACGAAGACCTAAGCAACGTTGAGAAGGCAACGTCTAAAAATCGACAGTACGATATTGTGGTTACCAGCTTTTCCTCTCACTGGCTTTTTAATTATAGTTTTTATGATGTTATCCATTAAGGGGGCTGCAGCCGATGAAAAAATAGTGACTTTTAGACCAATAAGCTAGACAAAACTGGAAGAATTTGGTTTGACAGATTTTAATTTTGAAAACGGAATATGATTGATCAACAAGCTTACTAGGATCGTTCGAGGCGATTTTGAATATTATTTTTCAGCTGTGATATCCAAGAATAAAAATATTGAAAAAATATGATATTTTTGTATTTATATTATTCATTATGACACTAACAATAATTGGAATATTCAAAATTGCCTCTATCGAATCCTAGCAAACTTGTTGATCAATCATAATCCGTTTTAAAAATTAAAATCTGTCAAACCAAATTCTTCCAGTTTTGTCTAGATTATTGGTCTAAAAGTCATTTTTTTTCATTGACTGGAGCTCCCTTCAGCCCCCTTAAGGTTTATTTTATGATACGGAATTTAAATATATTGAAAAATATTATAACAAACAAAATTAGTGTTTAGAATAGTCAAATCTACATTAGTTTTGACTTTTGACAAAACCTGCTGCAGCCCCCTTAAGATTACGTAGTATACCCGCACGTGTTGTCTCCATCTTACAAATGTACAACATAGCATAACTGTTTTGCGCGGGACAACTTTACTCCCTCTGTATTTAATATTTATAGTAGAATTACCAAAATTCCACAACGCATAGGGAAGAACTTTGTCTGTGATGTATTTTTTTGGATAACATAAATACAATTAAAATTATCAGTTTGAGAACATTAAGTTTTTTTTGTTTTTTTTTTCATTTAATTATTAAAAATGATCGGTTAGTATTATATAAACAATTAAAACGCTACATCACAGATAAAGTTCTTCTCTATGAGTTGTGGACTTTTGGTAAGTCTACTATAAATACAGAGAGAGTAAAGTTGTTTTTTCGCAAAACAGTTTTTGTCTGTGTTGTCCAACGGAGACAACACATGCGGGAAGCACATCCACACTCGTATTAATAAATTGTTGTTTCCGTCTTCAAACGTATTATATTGCAAATTTTACTCCATAAATTCTAAAATTTAACTTGTATTGACTTGGTGTAAAATTCAAAGATAAGATTATTATTATCTAGGGCATCTCGGAGCCTTTTACTGATATTTTCAAGTATTATGCTTGTGACCTTACATTTGTTGTACATTTTATAATTATCATAACTTACTTAATTAAAAAGAATAATATCAATAAATTCTTCCGAGATACTCCAGATAATAATCTTATCTTTAAATTGTATTATGGGTTAGTTCACTCTAATTTTAAAACTACCGGAGTAAAATTGATTATTGTTAACTTAAAATGTTGTACGTTTGTAAGTCGGAGACAACACAATGTCGGCGGGTGTAGCGTCCTCTTAATATTGATGTATCTAATTTATTGTTTCAGGTTATTGTGGCTTCATCGGTTGTTTGTGGTTCTAACTATTTATGCCATGCTGCAATTTTGTTGGACTTTTATAAAATATACATTTTGAAAAAAAGTTGTCGACAGTGTATATAAATATTAGTTAAATCAATTATCTGCGAAGTAGTAAAATATAATATGTTTTTATATTTTATTTCACACTGGTAATCTGCTGTTCGTATATTTTATCATGATGGTATATAATATTGTAGATTTAAATCAGCGAATCAGATTGGAATATTATAAATTCTACGATGAGCCACAGCACTGCAGGGTCACTATAGGATCTGTATCTTTCAAATTTTTTTGAATTTTCGCTTTATTTTTAAGTGACAGTTTTTACCTTAAGTTTTTATAAAAAATGTAACTTTTAAGATTTTAAAAATAAAAGAATAAATTGATTTAATTTTATATCTTCTATTTACAACTTTACAAGTGCGTGAAAAGTCACTTATACGACGCATTATTGTAATCAATATCTCATATATAATTTATGGATTTTAAATTATACGGTTAAGACATGTACTATTAAACTAAGTATCCAATATCTCATGATTTTATTGGGTAACGCCTCGACAGTCGACTTAGCACTTTCTTTTGCTTATAAAACTAAAGAGCCCTCCCTTTAAAGAGTATTCCTGGCGGCTGGATTTAATTGGCTGATGCATGTATCCACACATTTGTAACTATAAAATTGGCAATAGAGTATGTAGAAATGTGGAATGTAGATTAAAATGATTTATATTATAAATTAATATAAATTATACAACAATGGATTTTTGTTAAAGTAAAATGTAATAATAAATAACTGTAAATAATGAAAAACAATTTTGAGCGAAGAGAGCTTAACTTTTTGGTAACAACAGTTATTTTAATAGTTTTATTTACATTTTGATAAATGTTCGTATTTTAGATGCTGAGTAGAGCTGACGTACATAAATCAATGTAGATTTTACAATGGTGTGTGTAGGTTTTTTTAGTATGAATATTGAACACACTACTTATAGTGGAAACAAATACTTTGATCTCCTACTTCAATATATTTTCTGCTAGGAAAATGAATCTAGTTGGTACTTTTGACAAGTAAAAATGAAACATCCACAGTACTTTTAAAAATAAATGGGGGGATGGTGGACAAGTGGGTACCATTCTGCTGTACAGTAGTTGTTGAGAATGTCATTGTATTGGTTGTATTATATTTTAATTCAATGATAAATCATTGTATACAGTATTTTTAATATTATAAGAAAAATGATTCTGAGCGGAGACATTGTGTTAGCCCAGCATACCTACTTGTATAAAATAATCAAATAATCAAATTTAATAGTTAAAATTACACACCACTGTTTACTCAAAAACGACTTTCTTAAATTTTAAAATTACGTACATTTACATTTACATAAAAAAAAAGTGGATAATTCGTTTTCAAGTTAACTTTATGATTATGACGAATTCGAAAAAGTTTTCATAAGTTTTATTTGATTCCTAAGATAAGGTATGATCTATAGGTAGGATCCATATAGTTTGTGGTTGATAAAACAGCTAATATGTGTAGATCGTTTGACGGCCAAAGAAAATTGGGAAGAAACTCCGAAGTCAAGAGTTTATGAGAATGGAAAAGATAATTAATAAATATTAGACATATTTTATTTGAATAGTTTATTAGGGCCCCCACACGAAAATGTTCAGTGGGGCCCATTATCTTCTTGAAAAAAAAAAAAAAAAAATAATGCGTTTATTTCAACAACAACCAAAATTGTAATCAAAAAAATAAAAAGAATAAATAATATGTAATTAATACTTATTATGAATACGGATAATATATATTTATTGAACAACAGCTTATAAGAAATTGTACTTAAATACTCAAAGGAAAATGACGCTCTTTGATCAGAATTTGTTTTTGATACCTTCTGATCTGTTGTATCCCCGCCTAGGAGTGTGAAAACTTCATCGCCAAATCACTCATGTTTGTTATCTCACCGCCATCTAAATAATAAGTGCATCACGTTAATAATCTAATAATTACTCGATAATTGTCGGTAAAAAAACCCATACCATCACCTAAAGGAGTAACTACCATAATGAAAAATTAAGTCTTAATTTTAATTTTAATGTTGGTTGTATAATTATTATTATTATACAAATTATAAAAGGAATTATTATCACTAGGGCTGTGAATTTAATGCATTTCCATGTTTTTTTTTGCTACAAATTTGTTTTGACTTATTTATAGTTCAAATCCCAAATCTTATTTTGCATATTTCATGGGTTAGGGTATATGAATGCATGTTTTAATGATTTTTTTGTTTAAATGCTTTTTTTCGTAATATTTACATTTTTTCATTAAATTAAATTTACATTAAAATATTAAATGTATTTGTATAAACTATACTTTCTTTATATAAAACTTTGTTGGGATAATATATAACTTACATAATATTTGTGCACATGCTAAGTGTTGCTAATGGGTGACTTATTACCCCCGTATTATCCTGCTTGTTTACTCTCTTCAAATACTCTTATTGTCCTCTTAGTATAAATTATGTAATTCTTAAAAATAAAAAAATAAAAAAATATTATTTATTTTGTTTTTATTATTATTATGAATAGCGGTTATAAAACAAAACAATGTTATCTTGGGTGGGGATATAACAAACCAGTTGGGGGATAGAACGGTTTTTCTTTCGATAATACTCGATAAGAAGTATACCCGACTGGTTTTTTTTAGCATTTAAAGAGCTGGTCATATGGATAGAACATTTATTTTATTTTTGTTTAAGATTGATTAAGATTTAGGTATATGTTAAATATAAACTTGGTTTTTCTTTTACAGCGTATAATATTTTGGTAAGTACCTAGTAGTAATTTTGGTGTATATTAAAATATTGTAATCAAATTATTTATGAGCTAAGCTATAGTAAAAACCTTAAAACCTTAGAATGAACAATTTTCGTATTAAATAATTACATTGATATATAAAACATTTTTTTAATTAAGTTTTCTTAACAAAAAATATAAGAATAGAGTACGACTAATTGACAAATAAGAAACTTTGTTTTTAATAACCACAACAAAAAATTTTTGTGTGATTTCGCACATTTTACTCACTTATTACTATGATTCTTTGACGTTCGCATACCTATTCATATCTACCAGAACCTTCAAACTTATTAAATCCTTATTTTGTATTAATGATATCTGAAAACCGAAGGCAGGTTTCTGTTTTAGTTGTAAGACCATGCCATTTGAAATATTAAGGACATTGCATTTGATTATATTTACTTAAGTACCTATATACGTAAACCATGAATGTTTTGTATAGCCAATGCAGTTGTTTTGTAATGACTTCGTATTTACTAAAAAAACATAAACTGGAAAAACGTTAATACTTTCAGAGAAAATTAATAATGATTGTTTTCCTTTAAAATAATCACGTGATGTTTTTGATTCATTATTATTATTCAATTTTTTTTTCTGCGTGCAAATCCAGCCGCCGGGTATAGTATATGGCTAATAAGTTATCGAAACCAGTTAGGCATGCGGATTAATCGAGCACGTGTTGTATATTATTATTATAATTTATAGGTAATATTATACTGCAATTCAAGATTTTGAACACTGTCCATAGGTAATAAATATTAGACACCTACCTACAGTTAATTCAACATTAAGTCGGTTTTCCCAAGACTATACTTGCCAAGACTACTTGCCAAGTAAACCAAAATAGAAATGGGTATACCTATTTTTTAATTATGTTCATTTGACTTTTCCTATGACTCATATTACATTTACTGACTGAAATTTATCATCGGCAAGGATACCGTCCTGGTGGGCGGTGACAAATAATAAATTGTACAAGTATACTATTCTGACGGAATGGGAAGTAACGACCGGTACCAAATAAAAAAGCAAAAAGTGGTTCTTACGGTAAACGAAACATTTTGGTTGAATGACCTGGCAATTTATTCTGGTTGTAAATCATTTATCGTTAATGGAAAATGAAAATATAAATATTTGGCCAACATTTCATGTTTCTACGGTTATTCGTTTTTGAATAATTGCAACAAAATATGAAAAATGTATTAATGGGAATTCGTTAATTTACTACAAAATATCAAATACCTATATATCGTAAACATTTTAAATTCAAACGTTCATAAAAAATTAATGTTACTTTTCGGTAAAATTTTATTTTGTCTAGGGTAGAGTTGGAAAAAAACATGTTTTTAAAAAAAAAAACCAAAAAACATGTTTTTATTGTTTAAAACACGGTTTTTTGTTTTAAACAAATTTATATATATTGTTTTTTTTGTGCTATTTAAAATAGTTTTAAACAATTTAAAACATGTTTAATATTTGAAGTAAAAAAAATCAATTATCCTTTATCTATGAAGTAAAAGTAATTACAAATTTAGATTGAGATATTTTGATTAGGCAACATTGGCAATACTGTCAAAAGTTGATAATTAATAAATTGTTATCGTACATTTAAAATTATTAACCGTTTCATAAAAGAATGTTACCTTAATTTTTTATTTTTAATATTATACTAATGGCTTATAGGTATAATAATACCTATAATAGGTATTATATTTTCAATATATGATTAAATAATAATTATTAATATGTTAAAGTTAATTCAAATTTTGATTTTGTTAATTTAGTAATAAGTTTTTTATACAATGTTCAAAGACTGAAAAGAAAAAACAAAGTATGTTACCTTTATTATTTATTTTTAATATTATACTAATAGTTATTATTATATGTATAAAATTAAAAATATATGATTTTAAGAAAATTTAAATTCAGCTATAATTTTTTTTTTTTGTTTTAAACACTTGTTTTTTTTGTTGTTTTATTCAACTGTTTTAAATGATTAAAACAAATTGAAGTTTGTTTTATTTAGTTGTTTTAAACAAAACAACTCTGGTCTAGGGTAGTTAAACTTATGGGGAATCGTCTATTAACATTTTATGACATAGCTATGAAAAGAAAAACTCTTATGATGGATGTCTACCTGAAAAATAGTTTGCAAATTTTCGGGGTTTTGATGAATTTTGTCAACTTACCGGTCTAACAGTTCCTCCCCCCCCCCTACAAAACAACAAAAAACAGCTAGTGGTCATAGTTGCCGGGCTTAGGCTTAATAAAAAAAAATCTCGTTCTTGTTTAAATATTTGGGTAGAGAAGCAGTTAAGCAAAAAACTGGAGTATCCATACATTTTAAAGAATTAGTCGAGTTTTGTTCCTCGTCATTAAGTAGGTCACGTACCACAGAAATGGTTCCTTTCAATTTGATTTATAATATGATAATAATTGATAATACATTGAACCTTAATATATATTTTACAATAATAAGTACTAATGTACTATAAATTTTAATATTATTATGTCTGTCCTAATAAACGCAGACCCCAACGTAGTTGTCTGCACGATGTCTTAGATTACCAGCTATCAGGTAGCTCATTTACGAAATGTACTAAATTATTAATGTCTAATCAAGAATTAAAATACATTGTATAATATAATTGAATTTGCGAATAATATAAATTTCTCTAGTGTATAATTAATTTTCCAGTTATCTAAATACTCAACCATCGTACGCTAACCGATAGATGATAATCCTGTTGTTTTGGTCAGGAAAACTTATTAAAAATAACAATAAAAAAAATATTATTTAACACAATATTACCTATCTACGCATTTACATTATACAAGGTTTGTCGTAAAAATAACTAAAAATAAACCTAAATATTTAAAAAATGTCATTATCTATAAAAAATATTAATATTATATAGGTAGGTTATACATGCAGTGGCAAATAGTTTACGAAGGTATTCCAAAATTATGATTTAAGTAAAAGTGGAATGCTTGAAGTTTCTATGATTAACATTTTTTGAATTGTAACAAATATCAAAAATCTTTTGAACAGAAATCTTTAAATTGTATACATTTGAAGTTTATATTTTGACAAAATCACGAACATTTGCTGATTATTTTACCAAATGTATGCAATTTAAAATTTTAATACCTAGCTAATGGTTTAATTGAATACAAAACTGTACATAATCAGTTCTTAATGAATCTTAAAAATATAAATAATATTGGTGGGTACATGCATAATTTATTTTATAGTCACTCGTAGTTCAAATTTTGAAGAAATTGGATATTTAAATTAAAAATAACAATTTTAGTTATTGTATTCACCCATATTCATGGGGACCTACAACTGTTGAGGATATTATTATAATTTATTTTACATAATGACCAATTTACCAAGTTAATAATATTTTATGACAAACAACTTTTTTTTGGAAAATCACGGTTTATAAATAAAACTAAAATATTATTACATGTACCTACTTTTAAATCGAACAAATCAAGAGTGTTCCAGTCGGTTATTTTCAAGGAATAAGAATTAGGCAAATTATGTGGCAAGTGCAACCGGGCCATGTCAATATGTGTGAGTGTAAATTAACACCTCAGTGTATCGCGTCTCGACGGGAATTACCCTTTTCCGCCAAAATGTCTGCTATGATAAAATTATTATAATGTATTCCATATTTTTGGGAAAAGAGAAAATAATTTTTTTATTTATATGACAAATTATTATATATTTATGAACAGGTGACTTTTACTTTATTATTATATTTATTAAAACTATGAGAAAATATTAGTATGTATTTATTTAGTTATTAATATATTATCAATATTTAATATTGTCACATAAACCATGTACAATTAATTAAAGTCAAAACTTACAAATACCTTACAAATAATATTGATAATATACTCCAATACTATGGAATATATTATGATAATAATTTAACCATAGCAGATATATTGGCGGAAACTGTACATACCCGTCGTGACTCGTATCCACATTCTAAGAACCAGCATTCTCGAACTAGCAGGCACATGTCGGTTGTACATTGAATTAGGAAAAAGTATACGGTTACTTTTCGGGTAAGAACATACCTCGGCTGTGACAAAATTGGGAGACTTAGGTTGGTGAGATTTTGGTTCTGTAACAATCCTAACAATTATTAACGCGACCGCTCTTTATAGAAATATTAATTATAGAATTTGTAGAAATATTAATTTCTTCAATACATAATATGGTTGAACAAAAATGTTGTAAAAACTGAAATTTGCAAATATTATAATATTGTCAAAAGTTCAAAATTTAAAAAAAAGCTCCGACCGTTTGAGAACGCTCTTGAGGAGATGTTAAAAAATGTTATTATTTTTACAACATTAAAATCGAACCATCTAAAGTCCCACAATCTTGTCACAGCGGAGGGTTTTTTTTTTGACCGACTGAAACAGTGAAACCACCAAAATATGATAAGATATTTAAACAATTTATAAAAGTAGGATATTAACTTAAATACCTAGTTAGAGAATTCATTGTAATAACATATAGTTTTTTTCAGTTATTTTGAAAAAAGTTATACGAATTAAAACAATGTTTAAACATCATATTTTTAAATAATGTTAAACTGTAGCTTTTACTTAGGTAATAATTTGATTTAAATAGGATTTCAAAAAAAACTCTTTTAAATGTTCTTAATTTACAAACAAAAAAAATGTTTTGGGCTTACATTTATACTTATCAGCAGGGCTAGGACTTGTATGCAATAAAAAATGGTAAAATATGCATCTTATTTACCAAAATATGCAAAAATATGCATTTAAATTTTTATAACATCAACAAAAAAATATAGTTACTAAAAAAATATGTATTTGTTGAAATACATCAGTGATTGGCTGTTAGTCTTAATATAATATAATTGAGAAAAAAAAAATAATTTAGAAATAAAATTTATAATTAACATTCACTACGTGTGTTAGGTACATGCTAAGACCACATTTTTTTTTTAAATTTTCGAAATGAATGTCAAACTATTCAATCTTTTATCGCATACCTATATTGTACCATAGGATTGTATTTATAAAAATAAAACTTATGTTTGACAAAAAAACCAAGTTTTATGAAATATACAATAAAACATGGATTTTTCGCATTCTTATAATCGAAATGTGCAATAATATTAATTTTATTCAATATATGCAATAATATGCATTTCATCCAAAATATGCAAACACACGCAAAATAAAAATACCACCATCTATCTCATTATGAGGGGATTCTTGGACATTACTGACAAAATCAATGATCAGAAGTAGCAAAAAAAAAACACGCTGTTGCATATAAATCCTAGCCTTGCTTATCAGATATGAAAATATCGCCAATATCCTATGTTAGGAATATATAACTAAAATATTGTCTAGATATCCATAAAATATTATAAAATATTAAATAGTATTAATCTGTTGATAAAATATATGAAGGTCACCGTGTTCACCGGCTACTACAAAAATGTTTACGAAGGAAATGAGTTCAAACGCTGTCTCAAATCTGAATCAATGGAAAATACGAATGGTCGGATGGAATGATACGTTTCATGTGGAAGGGAGAAAATAAGAGAACGGGTCAAATATCAGTTGTAAGTCTTAATAAAATGTTGTTACTGTACAGGTCCCGTTATATGCATTACTTACATATAAAACGTTGATGGCGACTATTTGATCGGCTACTATCGGTTTGAACTCGGAGGCGTTATATTATATACTTATATTGTAAAGGCAACCAGATCAAATTTGGCTGCTGTTACTATTGACTACCGACAACTGCACGTTTCGTATAATCGATTTGGATCAACACATTGCAGGAAATGGAGACGGGTATAGTCGAATCGTTCGGAAATGGGACAGTTTTAATCACCGGAAGTACTGGGTTTTTGGGGAAAATGCTCACGGAAAAATTGCTAAGGTCTTGTCAAGTAGACAGTATCGCTATTTTAGTCAGAAGTAAGAAAGGGCTTAGCGCCAGTCAACGGGTTACGGAAATATACAAGCAAGCTGTAAGTATACCTACTTACATAGTATTTTGTATTAATAATATACTTACCTACATACGCTCATAAATTTTGGTGATTTAATAACTATAACTAATTACTTTAAGCACGTAAACATGAATTATATTAATTGTGAAAACACAATTTATACCATATATGTTTATTTTATCAATCCCCATTCCCCATACTTGATAACATTTTCAAAACATTTTGACCTTTTGGAGCTGTTTGCGGACATTTTCAATTTTCAATTTTTTTAATTTTTCTTCCTATCATTGTCAATAAAATGTTATTTGTTGTGTCAAAAAGTGTAAAAAACTAATACATGGCTCCTTATATATTGTTTCTATAACAGTTAGCCTCCCCCCTCAAAGTACCAACTAGATTCACTTTTCTACCACAAAAGATATGCTGTTGAAGAAAATCGAAGCATTTTTATTGTAATAAAATACGAAGACAGACACAAAAAAAAACACACACATGACATACATAAACCATAATCACACACAATATTCAATACATTCATCGCTCAGCTCAGAATCTAAAATTGAACATTTTATAAATCTTTAACTACAAAATAATAAGATGTTGATTTTTTCGTGACTTTGGTGTATTTTGTCAATTTATTTTAATTTTTACAATACAATTTACAATATGTTACTAACTAGAATAATAAGTAAATTTGTAGATGGATTTATGGCTTGAAAAAAAAGACGGATTAAAGAAGGCACTTTGTCAGTTACTCATTTGAACTTAAAATAATTATAAAACAAATCGTGTTTATGTATCTTTAATATTTTTATATTGCTTTAGTAACCACTATTAGTTATGAGGAACACGTCATTGTATTCAATTTTAAAGCATTTATATCCAGCAAAAATTTTTCTATTGACATTTATAGAAAAAAATATTCAGAATTTGAAATGTCTATAAATAGCTCAAAATATTTTGGAAATGTAGTCTTGTATTGAATATGAACATTTTAAATACTGTGGTTATTCATTTTTCAATTCAAAAAATTGTACAAAATTCGTTAGAGTAAATGTGAACTTATATTCAATTATTATAATAATTTTTTTATTTTCTATAAACAATATATAAAATAATATAATACATATACATTTGACTACCTACATACCTTTTGGCTGTTAAAAATGATTTAAAAATATGTTTCTCAGCTATTTGACCGACTTCGTTGTGAAAAACCAGATTTTATAGAGTCAATCAGGATCATCGACGGACATTTAGGAGAATCATCGATGGGTTTATCATCGTCGGACCGAGAGTGGTTGATAGATAATGTGAATTTCATTTTTCATTGCGCGGCTACTATTAAATTCAACGAACCTCTCGATTTGGCATCGAAAATAAATGTCCAAGGTACTGGAAATGTGTTGGCATTAGCATCTCAAATGAAAAATCTCAAGGTAATAACTATAATAATTCAATAAATAATAACCACTTATTATATATGTAGGTATAGTACCTACTATGCTAGTGTTGTGATGGTCTGTGATTTTTATGGAGTACACAATTCAAGACATGTTGTTTTCAGTTTGAAAGTACGTATGTAAATCTAAAATTAATGATATTGAATTACGCTTCTATTCACATAAGTCATTTACTTAACGGGAAATTGAAAAGAAAACCGCATCATCTATCTTCAGGGGAAAGTTGTCAATTTCACACAACGATTCTTTAAAAAAAAAAAAAAAAATATTATTGACTTTTTTTTATTATTATAGTATGTTATGAATACCTATTTCCGTGACGAAGAAGATAATGATACCAGAATTTCAACATAATTAAAAAAATCTATATTATAATTTTAATACTAACCCGTGACTATATTAACAGTGATTTTTGAGAACCACAAAGGGTATACATGTATAATAAACTCTTCAGATAATAAATGGATATATAGGTAAAATAATATATTTGGATTACTGAGATTTGTTGTATTTTAGAGCAACTATCACAAATATTTTTGTTTAGGCATTTTATTAGACTAGTAGGTAGGTACTGAAATTTCTTTTTAATTTTCTTATTCTATAAAAGTTAATTTTTTAAAAGGGATGTTGTATGAAATATTTAAAGAAAAACGCATACATACTTTACAGGGTTTTGTGCACGTGTCAACAGCTTACTCACACTGTCCGAGAAGTGAAATCAAAGAAGAATTCTATGACGTTCCAATCACGGCTAAAGAGTTAAAAAATGTGTTTGTTGACGAAGAATCGACTAATAAGTAAATATATTTTATACTAATTGTCGTCTGTCGATTGATGTAATATTTTTTTTTAACTATCCATTAATTTACACTCGTGAACGATAGAATTCTAAAGGATTGGCCGAATACGTACACATTTACAAAAGCAGTCACGGAAAATATGATACAAACGAACGGAAATCACTTGCCGATATCAATATTTCGCCCGTCGATTAGTAAGAATAATATGGTTTATTATTACGGGTGAAAAATATCTAATTTAGTAACTCGTATATTTGAATAAAGATAATCGGGATAAAATATGTATTAAATTGTGGTGTTTAATAATTAAAATCAGAGAAATATATAGTTAATATTATAATATATTATAGTCGGATGCACGAAATCTGAACCAGAACCTGGCTGGTTGGATAACATGAACGGACCAACCGGTCTGGTTACCGGAGTCATGGTTGGATTTTTGAGGACGGTACCAAACATCGGGAGCAATATAACAGATATCATCCCTGCCGATTACACCGTCAACGCATTGATTAGCGTCATGTGGGACACGGTTAACAGGTGTGCAACGAGTGCCAATGGCATCAAAAATATTGACTGTGGGTATACACTATACACGCAGTGTTTAAAATAATTGTTTTGATAATTTCAGACACAAACAGTCGAATGGAGTGAACAAGGTACCGAAAATATATAATTACGTTTCGTGTGTCGAAAGCCCTTTGACATGGGGAAGATATATTAGAGAAATGCACGATCAATACTACGTAGCTCCTCCTTTGCAATCGATGTGGTACGGTTTTTACATTCTCTATACTAATTTCATGGTGGGAAGTATTTTGAGATTTTTCTTACACCGAATACCAGGCGCATTTATGGACTTGTTATTGATTTTGTGTGGTAAATCTCCCAAGTAAGTTTTGATTACTTTGTTTATTGGATATTAATTATATTAAAAATGTTAAATGTTCAATTTGTTTTTTTATAATTCGAAAATATATTACCGTTGACTTGAAATTTTTACCGACTATCAGGAGATACTAAACATGAAATTATTTTCAAAATATTTTGGAAACATTTGTATTATTTATAGATATTTTACATTTTTTTGATTTATTTATTATGATTAAATTTTTGTTTGAAAAGTTTGAAAATGTGATAAGAAAGTTCTTTGTAAGTTATACTGAAATATACCTACAATTTATTATATAAATATTTTACATCTTTTATAATAATTTTAAGTTCAAATTTTGTTGACATTGGAGTATTGGATATTGGATCCGTATAATAAGTAATAACTATTTATCCTCAACCTGTTATTTTGTTATCATTAAAAAATGTATAATTCGGTATATTGAGCTACTATTTTTTCTCAATAATTAAATAATACTAAAAAATGTCTTAGATAGGTAGGTATAGGTAGGTAAGGGGATTGCAAACGGACAATATTTCAACCAAAATGTACCAATAATCTTTTGAATCGGTATGATGGACTTGATAACGCATGGTAAGACTTCTGAAAACATATGTGAATTCGTTAAGATGTCTATTTGAGATCAATCATTCCCCTTTTTTAAAATGTTGATTATATTCGTAAATTAAATTAAATATCTTAAAACGTGGCCTGATCGATCCTCAAGTAGACATATTAACGAATTCAAATCAGTTTATACAGTTTTTAAGTCTTATCGCGTAATCAGGTCCATCGGTATTATTGACAAAAAGTACATACAAATGAGCTAATGAGCATAAATTGTTTACGGTTCATGTGCAGTGGCAGTGGCTTATATGTGCTTCGCATTTCTATTTACACACAGTCACAAACACTAATGATCACTTACTAAGCACACATTTACAAGACCTGCATGCATACAATTTGAAAATTGCTTATTTTGAACTCCTTAAAGACTGTCCTCTTGCCATCCTCTTAATATTATGTTAGTTTATGAAAATTATTAACATGAAATGTTTTATTTATACTTAGAATGTTGCGAATGTATGCGAAAACAGAAAAAATGATTGATTTACTATATGAGTTTTCTACAAGACAATGGACATTTGACAATGGCAATACAAGAGAATTGTGGTCGTCGCTAAGTAAAGACGACCGTGAAATGTTCCGGTTTAGTTTAGAGGAATTTGATTGGAAACCTTACATAAAAAGCTACTATTATGGTATCAGAAGACATGTACTGCACGAAGACCTAAGCAACGTAGAAAAGGCATCGTCGAAAAACCAAATGTACGATATTGTGAACTGTTATTTTAGATTTTCCTCCCTCTGGATTTTGAACTACAGTTTTTATAATATTACGTATTATGATATTTCATTTTTTTTTTTACAACACGGGATATACCCCAATCGATACAAGATAATAAATTCATATAAAATATAATACATAATACGTATACAATAATTGAACTGTATACTAAATTGATTAAACTTATTAATATTGATGTAATTGTTTTAGGTTATTATGGCTGCATCAGATGTTTATGGTTCTAATTGTTTATATCTTGCTGCAATTGTTTTGGGCGTGTATAAAATTTGTATTTTGAAAAAACCCGTCATCAATTTGGTACTCTATCCAAAAAACAAATCTAACAATAATTGTTATTAATTACCAAAAACGAGTTACTTTTAAATTTTAATGGATATAGTTCTTAGATTCTCACTATGTGAAATGTAAATATTATAATGTAAGCATACAACATGTATTTGTCTTATTGACTTTTTTAAGCTAGATTGTTAAATTATTTTAAATAAAATGAAAAAATTGGATGTCCCTCTGCTGTACAGTAGATTACAAGTGGGTCACTGTAATGTATGGTGTTAAATTTTAATTCAATAATAGGTATAATATCATTGTATAAGAAAAACGATTCCGAGCGAAAACGGTCAGTCAGCCTATAATATTACTAAAAGTATATTTGATGATATTATTGCGAATAAAGTAATTTATATATTTACCTATATTTAAGTGGAACCTTGTTTTAGATTTTCAATCCTTAGTATAAAAGTTGAACATTTTATAAATTTTCAACTACAAAATAATTTTTTAATTTTAAATTTGATACATTTTGTCTTTAAATGTTTATAAAAAAAAATTGTGCCTATGTATTTTTAATATTTTTCAATTAGAAACAGGATTTACAGACAAAGATAAAAAAGTTAAAAAGTTTTTGAATACATTTAACAAATTTTTTTCCAACATTTCTAACTTTTCCGACCATTATTACCTACCGTTATGGATAATTATTACACTTATAGATTTTGTGCGTTGCGACTTGCGATGAACGTATTAATTTTACAATGAGGTGTGGTGTTTTTTTTATCGTGTACTTACCTTAATGTATGTTTTGGAAGTGTTTCCTACATTATAGTATGTGATTTGTATTGACCATGATGACGTATTGTCATTATTGAATATTATATTTACCCTTGATATTATTTTTCTGTTAAATGGCATATTATCAAAGACCCGTGCAAACTGTTGCAACTGGTAAATTGTGTCCGGTCGCATTTTACAGAGGCTCCCACGGCTGTATTAAACAATAATTAATATCGTCGTCGAAAATAATCGTTCCATCTATACATTTTATAAAATGATCGTTAACTGGAACAATGATTACTAAGTTGCTACTTGTTACACTTGTTGTGTAATTTACTAGAAGTGAGATTATGTACCGATCAACTATCGTGAATTTGAGACGGTCTTAATTTAATTTCCAAGACCATTTATTATTCTGCTTCTGCAGTTCATATAGATTTTGTATCCAACGTAAAAACAAAACTATAATACCTATATTTCGATTTTTGTACATTCTAGCTGATTTGTAAGGTTTTGATGCCCTAATAATATTATTACATCATTATGAGCTACGATTAATCGGGATCACGTGTTTCATAAACTGCAAATTAATGTGTCTTAGGAACTAGGATAATATTTTTTAAATGATTGATACCTAGTCATTGTAGTAAAACAATATTTTTAATAATAAATATCCTATATAGTTTAGTTCGAAAGATATTTTATATGAACAAAATTGCTTACATGTTGTACAAACTACCTCCCAAATGAACTACAATCCTTCTTTATTACGTGCAGAGTGTTAATTTCAATCCAAACTCGATTATAATAGTTATATTTTTAATATTAAAATTACTATTAAAACTAACCCTAAATTATTTTAGAAATGCTTTAACAATAAAAAACTTAACCGTCCCCACCAAAACATTATGATTTATGACAATGATCTATTCATTGGTGGATGTCGTTGATCGCTTTGCTCATTATCAATTTACTTCAACAAAAATGACCACCAGTCATCCACTTACAATAATTCAGTTGAAATAAATTTTAACTCTTGTGTTTTAAGCATCACAGACGTTCTAAATAAGTTAGAAAATGTTACAAATATAAAACGAGTCCTGGCTCTGTTATAATTTCAAGCTGGAGAAATCGTTATTTCTCTTTCAATTATCAATTTATCGTGTTAACTGTTAACTTCAAAATCCTATAAAAATATACTCATAATATAATATATTTTAAATATTTTGATACTTCTATCAGAAAAATATACGAGGGTTATCGTATTTAATATTCAAGAATTTCGATCAAGTATTTTCATTACCTAACAGTAATAAAATAAAATTAGTAACATTATAAATGTCTATAAATATCCTTAAATAACTCTAAATATTTTTAAAATGTCATTGTGTATATAAAATTATAGTTAAGGTATACTAGAATGTTTCAAGTTTCTACGATTAATGTTTTTATAATAACATTATAACAATAACAAAATAACTACTTATAAAGATGACGTCAGACACACAAAAAAAACAGCACGTAATTTTTAAACCAATACATTTATCGTGAAGAGAGTGTACTATTCCACTATTTTTATAATATAGAATTTACGAAAACATCTTAAAAATGTAATTTAAACTAACTCATATAGTCGAAGTCAATGTAATATCGATAAAATAAAATATAATTCCTATAAATTTAGTATAATATAGATTAAGTATAGATACGTACGTTATTATGGACAGTATTATTGATAAATATATTTAGACCTGATTCGCTGCAAATATATAGGTACATTTTAAGAAAAAAAGCATTGATACTATGAAATCATGAAAATATGCATTTATATGCCCTAACACGTTAAATTCGTAAAAATATGCTAAATTAGATTCCCTATTTTAATTATAAATAAGTAATAACACACACATATTTTTGACGAATCTATTTTCTCATACGAATATAGGTACCATGTATCAAAATAAAATTGCAAATACATCGAATTTACAATGTTGATCACAATAATTATAAGAATAAACTCCTATTTTGTTTTAAATTAATGAAATACCTCTAAAGATAAAAATAAAATATTATTTGAACAGTGCTAAACCATTTAAAATTCCAATAACTTTTTTTTTAACTGTTTTATACAGAATATAACTATTTCACATCAAAAATACTGTATTTTATTTTCGAAAATAGAAAATTACACAAACTCTGCATAGCATAAAATAGAGATCTTATTATAGAAAAATATATGAGGGGAAAATAAAAGAGTTTAGCATAAAAACGTATACCAAAAATATTAATTTTAATATTATAAATGTAAAACATTATCTGTGGTTGTTTACGTAAGGAATTATGTGATGATTATGAGTGTTTAACAACGATTTTTTTTTTACGTTTATTTGTCGAAATAATATGTTATCTTAAAAAATATTAATATAATTTTTGTATGATCATCAATACATAATATTATAATATAATAGTAGATCCTGTAAAAAATCATTGGCGACGAATGGACATGCATAAATATTAAATTCTAATATTCTATGCAATATACGCGTACAGAAACCTAAATTATCATATTGTTCGAATTAAATGAGTTCAGTTGAATTTTAAATGAAATTAATTCTTTTATTTAACTAATGTCGAATAACGAACAAATATGTTTATTGTTACGCATACCGCGGCCGTGTCGTCTAACTGTACTCGCAACGTAGGAAGGAATGTTTACTTTAATCTGAATTCATTAATTTGTTTTTCTTGTAGAATTTTCTGTGCAATAAGGCAATGGTGTAAGTACTGTGTAACTGCGTGTTACTCATACAGTATTAATTTTTTTTCCACATTGTTGTGTGTTGTCCATTCAATTATTCTGTCGTCTGTTCTGTAAAAAATTAATTAAATACAATTTTTTTCTACACTCATTGGAATCCATGATGTTAATTATTTTAATGCGTTATGACATGATTCTTGGGCTGAAGTGAGTGAAGAAATGTGTATAATATGCAAGGCTGGGAATTAACAGGTTAAAAAGTTAAGGTTAAGTTAAAAAAAGTTAATTTAATTTTAACTTTTTAAGTTAACTAGTTACTTTTGGCTTTTCATTCACTTAACTGTTAACTTACTAAATTTCTTTTTTAATTAACGTGATATTAACGAATTAGTTTTTCATTTTAAGAAATAAGTTAAGTTGATTTATTTTATTTTGTTTTTAATTTTATTATATTTCACTATTTCAGTCTATTTCGTTTTCATGTCAAAAAATATTTACATTGAATTGTTTAAAGTTAAAAATTGAGATCATTCAAATCTAACTTATATGAAAATACTGTATAAAGTATATTCACTATAGTCAATAATTTAGTTTTGGGTTGGACAAATATTAAGTACTCTACTGTTGTATAAACCAATTAAGTTGGTTTTTTTTAACTTAATAAAAGTTAACAAAAAGTGTTTATTAACTTTTAACTTAACTGAGTTAATCTATAGTTAAATCAACTTTTAACTTTTAACTTTTTGTTATTGGTGCATATCAACTTAACACAACTGAGTTCACAAAAATCATTAACTTTCTCAGTCTTGATAATATTATGTAGGTACTTCCTGGTATTTATATCCAGCTGATGACGTTTTCAGAGTTCTTTGCTTTATCGTTAGGTACTGTATTAAAAACTGAATTTTCAATATGGTTTTAATTGTAAATGTTAATTATTAATTTTTTAATTTTTCTTAGCTATTTTCTTCTCTGGATGCCCTTGATTATACTATTATACGCGTGTTTAGTGGGGGGGGGAGAGAGCTATGGAGTACACCTGATCGAGTTATAATACTAAAAATGGGCAGTACGTCCCCGCTTAATCAAATGTCTTTATTGTAGTTTTGCTTTACATTTATATTATTAATAAGGGATCAACAGAGTGTATGGCTTCAGTTGGCGCACATATCGTGTTTTCGTTCTCGGCTGTTACTTCCGTACATTAGACCTTACACCTTAGTCTTAAAAATAAATTACGCTAATTCTCACATTTATGATGGAAACAGGTGTAGCGGAAACGTTCAGAAATGGGATAGTTTTAATTACAGGAAGTACTGGATTTTTGGGGAAAATTCTCACTGAAAAGTTACTCAGATCATGTACTGTCAAAAATATTGTGGTGCTTGTCAGACGTAAGAAAGAACTCAATGCCAGTCAAAGGGTTGCAAAAATATACCAACAAACTGTAAGTATAATATTGTTGTTAATCGTATATGGTGACAACGTTGCGCATTGGCTCAACTAGACATTTGAACTAGGAGGTGCTTAAGCTCCAGGTTTTTTTATGATTCAATGAGACCTAACACCTAAGGATTTTTTAGGGGGTGCTAATTTTGACTTTGGGGGTGCTAAGGACCCAAAGCATCCCCCCTAGTTGCGCCAATGACGTTGCGTCTCAAGTACTGCTTTGACGATTTCGTTTAAATTATGATTATCGTTGTAAATACAAACTTTAAATTTAAATGTATTATGAATTTTTTTAAACAAACAGATGCGTGTTGAAAGTAACTGCTATTAAATAAACAGTAAATATCATAACTCAGAATATTTCATACTAAGTATTTCATTTAAATAAACAACCGTCGACCACTATCAGTGAAAAAAAAAATAATAATAATGTGAATACTTACAGACGTGATACAGTGACTACTAAAGTGACCACTGAACAGTGTAGAACTGACGACATTTTTAATTTTAAACATTAATAATAATTATCTTTTGAGTATTTTATAATTATTATAAAATTCTCAAAAGATAACTTATTGCACATAGGAATGGACATGATAATTTATATGAGAAACGTTGTCTATAAATGTCATGTCTTAAAATACAAAAACAAAACATTTTTATTAACATTGCAATTAATGCGAAATTATCTTACCATAAATACTTACAATTTTGTGGTATTTTATATATAATATTACTAAAACATGGTATATGAATACCGTATGATTAGGTATCTTCAGTATTCAGTTTATTCAATTGTAAAGTATTGATTCATAATAAGCCGTAAGTGTTAAAATTATGATTGCCATTATAATATCAACCAGTCAGTATTTTTTTTATTGAACTACGTTTAACTTAAACAATTTTACAATTTAACTAATTATTAAGTGGTTTTACCATACGCGTATGGAAACTACCAGAAAAATAAAAATCTAATTCTGAAATTGTACTGTCTTCATAAGCGAAACTACGACAAAATTTGTTTTTTCTTTTTTTTGTTGGGTGGGGGTGCTCAGAGTGCATCCCACCACAAACCATCACCTATAGTTGCGCCTACCACTTTATTTCAACTATTTTTTATAGGTAATTACATAAAATAATTTTAAATTTATATTGATTTATATATCAACACACAGTCTTAATATATAAAATGATTAATACAATTATAAATTAAGTAAATATAACTTATACTAAACAAAAAAATAAAATAATTTGTACTTATATTTGAATTAAAAAAGAAATATTAATATTTTTCAGCTATTTGATCGAATTCGTCATGAAAAACCAGATTTTATAAAATCCATTAAAATTATTGAAGGGAATTTAGAGGAATCATCGTTGGGATTATCGTTAAACGACCATGACTGGATGATAGAAAATGTTAACTTCGTTTTTCATTGCGCAGCAACGATTAAATTCAACGAAACTCTCGAGTTGGCATCAAAAATAAATATCCAAGGGACTGAACATTTGTTAGCATTAGCGTCAAAAATGAAAAATCTTAAGGTACTTAATTAAAAAAAAAAAAAATAAATATTGTTGACGAAAAACGAGGCAGAAACGTCGTATTTGTTACAACAATATATTTTCTATAGCATTAATAAGCCAAATGCTTGAGCTTTACTTGATAATGTCCATAAATACTGCAGAACAATATAAGGGAACACGTTTCTGTAGATATTCAAAAAAATTATGGTTGAAATGTTTGAGAAACGATTTTATTTTGCAGGGTTTTGTGCACGTGTCCACTGCTTATTCGCACTGTCCGAGAAAAGAAATCAAAGAAGAATACTACACCGTCCCGGTCACAGTTACGGAGCTGAAAAATATGTTGGTTGACAACGTACCGACTCCAGAGTAATTAATAATATATAATATATTTTTCGATTGATAAATAATTGATCAAACTTTTTATAAAATTACTCGCGTGAACGATAGAATCATAGAGGATTGGCCCAATACGTACACTTTTACGAAAGCGGTCGCGGAAAACATGATACTGACAAACGAAAACCGCTTGCCGATATCAATATTTCGTCCTTCGATTAGTAAGAAAGAAAATTTTGTTTTATCCGCATTTTAATGTTTTTATACAACAATATGTAAACGCCTACACTAAATGGTATTATTGAAAAACGAGACTTTACGAGTAATGTACTGTTATAGTCGGATGCACGAAATCCGAACCGGAACCTGGCTGGTTGGAAAACATGAACGGACCCACAGGTCTGATTTCCGGGGTCATGGTTGGATTTTTGAGGACGGCGCCAAACATCGGGAGCAATATAACGGACATTATCCCTGCCGATTACACCGTCAACGCATTGATTAGCGTCATGTGGGACACGGTTAACAGGTGTGCAACGAGTGCCAATGGCATCAAAAATATTCATTGTTTGTATACGCAGTGTTTAAAATAACTGTTTTGATAATTTTCAGACACAAACAGTGGAATGGAGTGAACAAGGTACCGAAAATATATAATTACGTTTCGTGTGTCGAAAGCCCTTTGACATGGGGAAGATATATCAGAGAAATGCACGATCAATACTACGTAGCTCCTCCTTTGCAATCGATGTGGTACGGTTTTTACATTCTCTATACGAATTTCATGGTCGGAAGTATTTTGAGATTTTTCTTGCACCGAATACCAGGTGCATTTATGGATTTGATGTTAATTTTGTGTGGTAAATCTCCCAAGTAAGTGCTTGCACTGTTTTTGTTCATAATTTGTATAAATATGTATATATTTCTTAGAAATCTTAAAACGTGTTCAATAAGGCGCATTGTCTTCTTGAAGAATAAAAAATGTAAAAAAAAAAAGTATTTATATGTACCTACCAGGTTATAGTACAATATAACACTAAATTATAATGGCTTAGGTATTTTTTTTTCTGTTGCAGCATAGTTTTAAATAATTTATACTTGTGTTATTTAATTGATCCAACTAAATGTAATTACGGTTTAAATTTAAAGACCACAATTTTACAATTCAATGATAAACAAACATTTTTCAGAACTAAAAATTCAAACTTTTTTATCTAAATGTATTTATACACAATTTATTGCTGGTTCATGGTACCTATATTACTTAAATAAATCTATCGTTTTTAAAATATGTAAAGTTGTAGTAAGAGATTGTAGTTAGCTAGCTGCATACTATACAGTAGGTATAGTATGAGGATGAGCCATTATATGCCAAGCGTTGTGGATACGTGGATAATCCCTTAGACTTAAAAATATTTCACTCTTGCCTACGTTATTTTATAGTACAAAAGTATATGAAAGTATATGCAATAGCAGTTTGAAGTATATAAATAAATGGTTATTTTGTTATCATTATTATTTTATGATATGCATATATGATGAATATAATTTGAAGTATACTTGAAGTCAATTTTTTTCGTCTGGCTCCCTCCCTTTTTCATTTACAGGTCCACGCATAATTATAGACTATAAGAGTAGTCTATTCTAGTATTCTGTAAGATTAATATTTAATACTCTAAATCGTATAAGTTATTTCTTGAGTTTTGACATTTTATGTTCACTATTCAGAGTGGTTTAGAATTTAGATACAGATTTTTTTTAAAAATGGTCGAGCTTGCAAGATTTAAACTTTGTAGTCTAAATATTTAGTATAGACCTTTGTTTTATTAGGTGATGAATATATTATTTATTTTTTATTGTAATTCAAATTGTCTGCGATATGGACTTCGGTGAGAAGTTGAGTCTCGGGTCCTTGAAGAAATTACTAAAAATAAATATAAGGCATATTATGTTGTTAAAAAATATTTTACATAATTATTAGTTCATCTTATTTTATAATATCGTTTGGTACATATAATATTGTTTTGGGAAATAAATAATAATGCAGTTTATATTACGTTTTTTTTATACAGAATGTTAAGAATGTATGCAAAAACAGAAAGTATGGTCGATTTACTCTACGAGTTTTCTGTAAACCAATGGAAATTTGACAATAAAAATACTAGACAATTGTGGTTGTCACTAAGTAAAGACGATCGCAATATGTTCCAGTTCAGCTTAAAATCATTTGATTGGAAGTCGTATATAGAAAGCTATTATCACGGTATCAGAAAACACATACTTCACGAAGACCTAAGCAACGTTGAAGAGGCGTTATGGAAAAATAAAAAGTAAGTACCGCTAAAAATAGTAAAAATATTAGTTGTTTAATTATATTTATTTGGTTTTATGTTTTTAGGTTATTGAGGCTGCATCAGTTGTGTGTTGTTCTAGTTATTTATATTACATTCAATTTGTGTTGGATGTTTATGAATTATTTGTTTTGAATGGTTCGTCGATATTACATTTTTATTTATTATTGTTTTTTAAAAGGCCGGTGCCAGTTTTCAAATTTACCACAATTCTATACAATTTGAAAATTAAATTTTTTTATTTCAGTTGCCACCTTTATTACAATACTTTTGCACTAATCAACTACCCGATACCTATTTAGGAGGAGGGTTGATAAGGTGTATATTAAATCGAAGAAAATGACTTCATGGGAATAATTCTCAGGTCTTGTAGAACTGTCGGATTTTGATAACTATTTTTTTATTTAAAAGGGGGAGACCTCCTACCGGCTGCATCGAATTCCTATTTTTATTTTATTTCAAGTATGGTGTAATATAATTTAGAAAAAAACTCTTAAAATTGTATTATTTTTGAAAACATATTATAAAGTTTGAGATTAAAATAATGTAAATCGCCGTTTGATGTGGCCTGTAGAATATAGACCCTCTATGAGTTAAAAAAAAATTATCAAATTTGGTTGATTTTACGGAGCACTATAATTATTTTCGTATTGCGTATTTTTGTATACACAATGACGTTGGCACCGAGGGCCTTAAACGTATACCTATAATTATTATTGTAAGCAAATAAATTATACTATTTAATTATTTTATTTATTATGACCTAAATAATGTGTCAAATGACTATACTGAGTTTTGTATTATGATAAATATGAAAAGACTTGTATAGAAACTGTGTATCAATCATTTATATTTTTACTATACCTACCTAGTACCTACATATTTGTTTTTGAGTGTATTTAAGTTTTGATTAGAAATAATCATATAAGCTCCTAATCCATAATATGTTTCTATATAATTTTAGATTATAATAACAGTAGTTGGACAACGAGTATAAGTATTATACGTTTAAGTTCATAGACGTCACTAAAGGGTATCGAGGGGTACTTTGCTACCTTGGGGCTCATACATTATTTTTGTGATAGCAAGGGTTTCTGATTGCAACCACAAAAAAATACTTGAAAATGTGTTAACTATATTCAATATTTATTACTCACGTCTTTACGAAAATAATTAGTTTTAGATTCTGAGTGAAACGATGAATGTATTGATTTTACAATGATGTGTGTTTATTTATTTTTTTTGTGTCTGTGTACACGATAAGTAGTCGAAATAATTCTTCGATTTTCAACTTTAGTATCTTGTTCGATTCGAAAGTGAATATCGTTGGTGCATTGGGGAGGTCAAAATTTAAAATACCCAGTACTTTTCAAAAGCGCCAATAAAAACAAAAGAAAAATTAAGGAAAAACGGGAATTTTTACGCAAAATCGGTTTTCCAAAAAATGGATTTTGGTTTTTGGTGTAACTTTAAAACAAATGAATGTATATACATGAAATTTTCACTGGTTGTTTATCTTTGCATTTTGTATACACGATAACATTTTCAAAATATTTTGATTTATTTTGAACTGTTTAGGGACATTTTTCATTTTTTTTTAGTTTATTTTCTAGAAATATCGATAAAATTTTATTTGTTGGTTAAAAAAACTTGAAAATTTAATAGAAGGCTCCTAGTATATTGTTTCAAAGGCAGATGAAAAATATTAAAAAACGTTAGTCACAGTTTTTTTTTATAAGCATTTAAAGTTCAAAAATTGACAAAATATGGAAAAATCACGAAAATTAGCAAATTATTTTGAGTTAAGAATTCGTAAAAATTTTTCTTTTTAAATCTAAGATTTGAAAATGTAATACAAGATTACTCATAAGTTTGTCTACCTTTGTCAATAAAAAAATCTCTACCGGACAGTCAAATTAAATTTTTATGAGCGTTTGAAATTCAAATTTTTACAACATTGGATGTTCACTCGATTTCTCATGTAGCGATTTCCTTATTTTGTCGTAATTCAAAAACGAATAACTATAGATACATGAAAATTTCACTGAATGTTTATATTAGCATTTCCTATACACCATACAATTTTGAAAATATTTTGACTCTTTTTGAGCTCTTTACGGATATTTTCATTTTTCAATTTTTTTTTTCTATGAATATCAATGAAGTTTTATCTGTTGGGCCAAAAAGTGTAAAAATTTAATACAAGGCTCCTGATATATTGTTACAATATCAATTGAAAAATATTAAAAATACATAGGCACAATTTTTTTTTATAAGCATTTAAACATCGAATTTTGACAAAATTTTTCAAAATCTCGAAAATTATTAATCATCGTAATTAATAAATTATAAAATGTTCAGTTTTTATAGCTGAGGATTGAAAATTTAAAACAAGATTCCACGTAAGTAGTTAATTCTCTTACCGAAAAATCTAAAAAATATACAATCACAGTTTATTTTTATAGTCATTTTATGTTCAAATTTGGACGAAATTACATATTAAAAAACCCAGTTATTTTGTTGTGATTATATAATATTATTCGTGGGTACCTACTTGAAACTTCTAAAGTGTACTATTATATATATATGATAGTATCAGGGTTTGTTATTGATGTTGATGTATAACGTGTTATAAGTACCTAATGGATATTGTGATAATGTGATATGATTAATTTGGAATTTATTATAGGTCAATTTTTTTTTTAATACCATAGATATGTATATAATTTGTCTTAAACCTAGACTGGCATACCGTCTTCGCTCAGAATCGTTTTTCTTATACAATGATATTGTATCATTGAATTCAAATTTAAAAGCATCCATTATACAGTGACCCACTTGTAACCTACTGTACAGCAGAGCGACATCCACTTACCCACCTTTTTTTACTTGTTGATAGAATTCCGTAAAAATATTATGGTCAAAACAATTTTTGATTGTTGATGTATATAAAATAATTATTGTTTTTTTTGTAAAAAATGAGCAGATTTTATTTAAATTTAAAAATAAAAATAATTGAGTTTAAATATTCACAATATTTAATTTTTTAATTTTTTAGTTAAGAATAAAGGCTTTAACAACTAAGACATTAGCTATCGGTTGTGTTTACATTATTAACGGATAAATTAGTTATAATTGGTTATTACATGGTTATGGAATAAATAATTTATACAGTTTTGTATATTTAGGTACTTTTTTTTTCTTTTCTTCTTAATTGTATAGTTTTATCTTTGATTCACTATATTGTAATAGCACAAAATTCACTGTATTTTACTATTAAGTGTTGTGTATAGAATACGGATATTTGAGAGTGACAACATTTTTCACTTTCGAAAAATACGGATTACAATTTTTTTGTAGGTAATTTATTCTTTGTGTTTCCCCAGAATTTTTACACTAGTGACGCCAATGCTTTTAATTGCTTTACATATAAGTCATTTCTTAAAAATATTAATGGAAATCGATAATTCCCTGGGAGTATTGACTCAATATTTAATAACTATTGAAAGTGACCTTATAGCTATAATAGTCTGTACTCTATAAGGTAAATACATTGCCTTGGAAAAAGTATTTCAGAAATATCATAATAATAGTTATTTATATACGGAAATAGTATGAAATGTTTAAACAATTATATGTATAATTTCTAATCATGGTTTCTACATGAAACTCTTCAAACACAAATTTTAACAGATGGTGCCTCGCACGAATATAAAAAAAACACATACTATACTATAACTTATATACTAACCTCATAGCTTGATAAATATATGTATACATAATTATACTTATAATGCGTCTCACGTTTTAAATGCTTTAAACGTTCAAAAATGCTGTAACTTAAAAACATAACTAAACCTAATTTGATTTGATAAGTGAGTGTTGTATTATTTTTGTTATTCAGGAAACTTGATTTCCGCTTTAGCTTAATTACTATGTAGGTAGCTGTTGTAATTATATTATGTCATGAAACTACACATTTATGATTTAATCTCCTGCAATTACACATTTTTAACTGGGGCTTTTAATTCTGATACTTAACTATAATTATTATTTACAATGTATTATAATATCTACACACGAATTAAGGATGTGGATATTTCATTAAGACCAAGTATAATTATTTAGTTACATTTTGTGATCATCATATTGTAACTTCTGTAATTCAGATAAATTGCCAATTGCTTGGCATATTTACTAAAAAAACCTACATCAATTATAGGTGAAGAAGTCAGTGAAAATAGGTTTGTAAATAATAGATATAAAAGAAAAATAATTATGGCGTATAATATTATTGCATAAACATTTACTAAAATAGAAAACTAAAAATGCAATCAAATTAAATTCTTGTTCCATTAACCAGAATTGTTCAAAAAACATTTAGTTAAATACATAATACATATTATATTATATAATTATTATATACCATACCATACCGCGGCATAAGACTTATTCAGTGGCGCAATTATCGGGAGTGTTGAGTGCAGTGGTTGAATTGGGGGGGGGGGACGCGGGGGGACGGAGTCCAACTTCTATTTTTAAAATATTTTAGCGTACCCCTTCTTATTTCAAGAATTGATAAGACATTTAAATGTTGGGGGGACGCACAAATGTTTTATACTTTTCCATACCCCTTCTATTTTTTTTCCAATTCAAGCACTGGTTGAGTGTGAAATTCACAGGGGCCCCTAGTTTTTGGGGGACCCAAAATCTCATATACGATATTCCTTCTAAAATTTGTAATACACAAAATAAACAAAATAATATAATAATAATTAAATATTAATACAATTAATATATATATATATTATATAATAGAAGCCCCTTTTTTGTATGTTTTTTACAAGAATATCTCGAAAAGAACTCTACTTATTTTAATACGGTTTTGACTAATAAATCGGTCAAGTCACTTAGAAGGTTTTAATGTATAATAATTTTCCTTGGTAAAATTAATTGGGTGGCCGAAAATAATAACAATCTATTTCTATATATTTAAAAATAAATGTTTGTCTATAAGTCATTGCGATCTCCTCCTAAACCACTGGACATTTTTTTATTTTTTTGTGTGTTTTTGAGAGAGTTCCTGAATGGTTTAGATTCACAATGAGACCCAGTTGGTTCAACCCGGAGAGGTGCTCTAACAGGTATTTTGAGATTTACTATAGAAATTTTTGTTTATAAATGGTTGCTATTGGTTATAGGAGAAATAATAAAAATAGTAAAAATTAGTATTTTAAATGTTTGCCATTAGTTATTACTCTGTTATATGAGGTAAAATGATCCATCAAAGCGTCGCACGATTATATGGTTCGAATGAAGAAATTATATCTTAAAACAAATATGAGATTTGGATGTGTGTTTGTAGCTATTATATAAGTTCTCAAAAACTACTTAACCGATTTTGTGAAAATTTCAAATTGTTCTTGGAGATATCAGGAAAGTTTAAAGAGTAGTTTTTTTGTTTATCTAAATGGTTGCAATTCATTATACATATTATATTAATAATATAATTAGATGACATATATTATATATACATTTTGTACAAATATATTTATTAAAAATACAAACCTTTGGCCTGGACGTCGGGCGGGACAGCTACTATAATATAGGTAATACAAATAATATAATAACACTAAATAATAATGTCTTTACTCTTTTAAGTTTGGAGAATTCGAATTAAGAGTACCCATACAAAAAATCTGTGTAAAATTAAGTATATTCTATTATAACTAATAATTATTAACTATATTACGTGTGAGAAAATAATATTTTTTAGAGTTACAATAAGGTTATGACTGTATTTCATTCTTGCTAGCGCAGGTAAGGGCCCCTGTCTATAAATGTTCACATGGGCCCCTTATTATCAAGTTGCTCCACTGGGCATATTATATGTTAATAATAATAATAATAATAATAATAATAATAATAGTAATAATAATAATAATAATGATATTAATAATGCATAATATTGCATGTTTATAAAAATAAATACTAATATGATATAGGTACAAATATGTACAATTCTCAAGAACAAAATATCATAAAATATTTTCGTCATAATGGTATAAAATTACATACCTAAATAAGTTATTAACTACTGTTTTAAGCTTTTAAATTAAAACCAATTGGGTTATGCTCATATCTATTTCAAATGTTTATATTTATGATGTTTATTATTTTAAACCATACTACTGGCTATCAAGCTATTTTTATATTAAAAAAAAAAATTATAACCTAACTCAATTCAAAATGATCATTAACTTGTCCTGATTTGGATTAATGTATTGATTTTACAATATATGCGTGTGTGTGTTTCGACACTTTTTAAAGTAGAAGAACTTGTATATCTTTTCGAAAGTGAATCTAGTTGGTACTTTAATAGGAGAAAAAACTGTTTTTCCTTAAGAAGTGGAAAAAACAAAAATAGTGGAAAACAGAAATTTTAACTCAAAATGTTGTTACTTTGTTGTATTTCGAAAACAAATAACACTGTAGATATTTAATTTGTTATAACATTTTATAAAAAGGTGGGCAAGTGGGTGTCGCTCTGCTGTACAGTAGGTTACAAGTGGGTCACTGTATAATGGATGATATTAAATTTGAATTCAACGATATAATATCATTGTACGAGGTGTGATCAAAAAATACCGGGACTAAAATTATATCTGCGCTAAAAATAATCGAATGGGGAATATACACACATCAAATAAAAATAGAGATAAACCTCAATTACGTTATTCAAGCCATGAGTTAATATTAACTGTTAGTAATGAACGAAAATTCATTGAAATCAGATACTTTTAATGTGTGTGCCGTTTTTGTCATGTCGAATAAACTCGAGCAGCGTGTTTGCATTAAATTTTGCGTTAAACTCGGTAAATCAGCGACTGAAACTTTTGAAATGATTAAAAAAGAACATAGAAACTAAACGACAGTCATCACAATGGAAATCAGTAACTTCACCAAGACCCAAAAAAGCTCGACAAGTTCGTTCTAACGTGAAGACCATGTTGATTACTTTTTTCGATATTAAAGGCCTTATTTATTACGAATTTGTTCCAACTGGTCAAACGGTTAATCAGACTTACTACAAAGAAGTTTTAATTAAATTACGAGAAAAAATCCGTAAGAAACGTCCAGATCAATTCCAAAATCGATCGTGGTTGTTACACCACGACAACGCGCCTGCTCATTCTGCCTTATCAATCCGTGAGTTTCTAGCTGATAAACAAATTCCAGTTGTACCTCATCCCCCTTACTCGCCAGACCTCGCCCCTTGTGATTTTTTTTTATTTCCAAAAATTAAAACTGACCTCAAAGGACAAAGATTTGATGATATTGAAACAATAAAAAAGAATGCGGTGGATCAACTCAAACAACTTAAAGTTGAAGACTTCCAACACTGCTTCAAAAAGTGGCAGGAGAGATGGGACAAGTGTATAACATCGGGCGGTGAATACTTTGAAGGAGACTAATATTTGAAATATTATTTGTACATTTAAATAAATGAAAAAAAAAAAATCCCGGTATTTTTTGATCACACCTCGTATAAGAAAAACGATTCTGAGCGCAGACGGTATGTCAGTCTATGTATAAGACATATTATATACATATCTATGGTATTAAACAAAAAATTGACCTATAATGGGTACCTATAATAAATTCCAAATTAATCATATCAAAATATCCATTAGGTACTTATAACGCGTTATACATCAACAAAAACCGTGATACTATCATAGATATATAAAAGTACACTTTAGAAGTTTCAAGTATCCACGAATAATATTATTCAATCACAACAAAATAACTAAAATAGTTATTCTAGGTTTTTTAATATGAAATTTCGTCCAAATTTGAATTTAAAATGTCTGTAAAAAATAACTGTGTTCATATATTTTTTAGATTTTTTGGTTACAGTATGAACTATTTACGAGAACCTTTGTGTTGAATTTGCAATCCTTAGCTATAAAAACTGAACATTTTATAATTTATTAATTACAATGATTGATAATTTTCGAGATTTTGATAAATTTTGTCAAAATTTGATCTTTAAATGCTTATAAAAAAAAACTGTGCCTATGTATTTTTAATATTTTTCAACTGATATTATAACAATATATCAGGAGCCTTGTATTAAATTTTTACACTTTTTGGCCCAACAGATAAAACTTTATTGATATTTATAGAAAAAAAAACTAAAAAAAATTGAAAGCTGTAAATGTCCATAAACAGCTCAAAAAGAGTCAAAATATTTTCAAAATTGTATGGTGTATAGAAAATGCTAATTTAAACATTCAGTGAAATTTTCATGTATCTACAGTTATTTGTTTTTGAATTACAACAAAATAAGGAAATCGCTACATGGGAAATCGAGTGAATATTCAATGTTGTAAAAATTTGAATTTCAAACGCTCATAAAAATTTAATTTGACTTTCTTATAAACATTTTTCTTTTGATAAAGGTAGACAAACTTATAAGGAATCTTGTGTTTAATTTTCAAATCTTAGATTTAAAAAGAAAAATTTTTACGAATTCTTAACTCAAAATAATTTGCTAATTTTCGTGATTTTCCCATATTTTTACAATTTTTGAACTTTAAATGCTTATAAAAAAAAATTGTGACTAAGGATTTTTAATATTTTTCATCTGCCTTTGAAGCAATATATTAGGAGCCTTTTATTAAATTTTCAAGCTTTCGCAACCAACAAATAAAATTTTATTGATATTTTTAGAAAAAAAACTAAAAAAAATGGAAAATGAAAATGTCCCTAAACAGTTCAAAATAAATCAAAATATTTTGAAAATGTTATCGTGTATAGAAAATGCAAATATAAACAACCAGTGAAAATTTCATGTATATACGTTCATTTGTTTCAGAGTTACACCAAAAACCAAAATCGATTTTTTGGAAAACCAATTTTGCGTAAAAATTCCCGTTTTTCCTTAATTTTTATGTTGTTTTTCCCGGCGCTTGTGAAAACTACTGGGAAATTTATACTTTTGACCCCCCAAAGTACCAACTAGATTCACTTTCCTATCAGAAAAGCTACTGATGAAGAAAATCCAAGCACTTTTACTGTCCTAAAACGTGATGACAGACACAAAAATAAAAAAATAAAAAAAAAATAAAAAAAAAAATAAAAAAACACACATCATTGTAAAATCAATACATTCATCGTTTCACTCAGAATCTAAAATGCATATATTTTTTAATATTCATACTTAAGTTTTTAAAATTCAGTATAAGGTTCCTCCTAAGCTGGAATTTAATAAATAGATTAGTGTAAAGTAATGCTACATGTTATTTTTTATTTAAATGATTGAATTTTAAATTTGAGTGTTAAAATGTTTATGGTCATTGGTTAATGAATCTAATTAATTAATCTTTGGTTCTCTTTTCAAAAGCAAAGCTTGTGCAGAAAAGAGAGAGTAAGCGATACAAAATATTAAGTAATTAAGAAAATGAAAACTAAAACAAAAAAGAGAATTAATAATAACAATATAACAATATAAATAAGGATAATACAACTAATATATTAAAACATATTAATAGCGTAAGCGCACAGATTAGGTAGACCCATTCGGTGCCTTAGCCATTCGTTATTGAAATTGTAATTTTATAGACTAAGATTTGAAAATACAATGCAAGATTCCTCATACATTTTTCATACAGCAACCTAAAATTTCAAAAAAATACAGTTGTAGGTAGGTATAAGTAGGTTTATGTGTCAGTTTATGTCTAGTGTACACGGGGTTTTTTTTTTAGGCATTGAAAATTCAAATTTCAGTAAAATTGGACGTTTAAACGAAAAAATAACGATTTTTGTAATATAAAATATATAATATATTAGTCATATATTTTTTGAGTCCAATTATTATAAATGCACCTTATGGTTATTGCACCTAAATTGGGTCACTTCAGTGACACGAAAAACAAAAAATTTCGTTAACCTGATAATTTGGTAGCCTACTCGTCACATATCGGGCGCAAAATAACGTAAAATAAAAATTATATCCTATCATAATAACAATTTTATTTTATGTAACCAGTAGCAACTATTAATTATTAATTATCTCTTATATTATAAAACACAAATAGTCTCCGTTTTTTGCCACCAGGGGCGACGCGACAAATAAGGAATTCCGCGTTTCTTCCATGACGACCAATCATATTACTTCTCGCGCGACGCAGCAAATAAGCAACTCCGCGTTTCTTCCATGACGACCAATCATAATACTTCTCGCGCGTTCGCTAAATTTTCACGTCGCCGCTCGCTTATCTCCCTTTTCGTTATTGTCTATTGACGACATTGACGTGAATATTTTCGAATATTATTTTCCCGAGTTATTCCGTATTTCTATATATTATATAATATAATAAAAATAAAAAAGTGCGTGTGCGATTTTTACAAAAATTGTGATATTTCCGTGTGTAAAATATATAAAATATGTAAAACGCAATATTCAGAAACTGTTCAAGTGTTATGTAAATGTCATTATTATGAATTTTATTATCGTACCGTTGTGGAAGCCGCCATTCAGCCATTCAGAATTTCAATAATATTAAAAATATAAGTAGTTTGAATGCACGGATTAGATAGACATTTTTCACGAGTATTGCAGTACATTTAACTATTATAGCTAAGAGTTTTAGTAGGAGCTTGGTGTGTCGATTGTTTATGACAATGTCGTTACATACGTAATAAGGTAAGTAATAATAAGTAAATTCAATACATTTAAATACGAGGGGTAATTACAGAAAGTTTGTACACCAGATTACTGATTTAAATGATTATACCTATGATTTCCCATGACTTACTACAAAGATTACCTATGATTACACATGATTACCCCCAAGGTGTTTACCCCTCGATTATAATATACTAATATTGTATTACCAAGTTTAATTACTTCAATTCATACCTTATAACTGTACTAACCTTTACATTGGGTTACACGTATTAATTTTTTGCAATATTTCAAACAAATTTCAAAACAAGAAAACTACATTTACATAGGTATTATATGTTAAATTGAATTTAAATTCCTTCAAAGGTGTAAAACTATGCTTAAAATATTGTACTATTTGTCAACATTTTTATTATGTCGTTGGCATGCAAAAATGTATTATACATGATTTATATATATTATATTAATAAATACATAGGTATCATTTATATTCTACTTTTTAAAACTTTATTATAGGACAACTGTATGCAGCGTTTTCCCGAGTGAGGGACTCTCAATCCATAAAAACCATTAGAGTTGCTATGTACAGTGATGGCCGTGGTAGATTCGTCACTAAGAACATTGTGTACAGAGAAATTCTACAAGCGATATAACTGTACAATGAAGTCTACAAGAACTTAATGAACATCGAATCCGATCTGTGTGACACATGGTTTATAAGCAGTCGTAAGTACGACTCGCGGAGGAGAGAAAGTTCGACGACCTCCACGTGGTTCTCTCTGGATGCGGATTTTGTAATGAATACGTAACTGATGTCGAACATGCATTTAACCTGGCTGCGACTCGCACACTAGATGGTAAATTATTTAGAATTATTTATGTACTCTAAAAATATATCAGCAGATATTTGTATGCATTTGTATTATTTCAGAAACATTATACTAAAAATGACTATCAATGCAGATGTAACAGAAACAGAATCATTGTTGTACTGCTACTAAGGCATAGGGGAAATTCGACAACCTCTACGTGCTACTCTCTTGATGCGGATTTTGTAATGTATTTGTATCAAATGTCAAACATGCATTTAGACTGACTGCGACTCGCACACTAGATGGTAAATTATTTAGAATTATTTATGTACTCTAAAAATATATCAGCAGATATTTGTATGCATTTGTATTATTTCAGAAACATTATACTAAAAATGACTATCAATGCAGATGTAACAGAAACAGAATCATTGTTGTACTGCTACTAAGGCATAGGGGAAATTCGACAACCTCTACGTGCTACTCTCTTGATGCGGATTTTGTAATGTATTTGTATCAAATGTCAAACATGCATTTAGACTGACTGCGACTCGCACACTCTGTGGTAAATTATTTAGAATTATTTATGTACTCTAAAAATATATCAGCAGATATTTGTATGCATTTGTATTATTTCAGAAACATTATACTAGAAATGACTATCAATGCAGGTGTAATAGAAACAGAATCATTGTTGGACTGCTACTAAGACATAGGGGAAATTCGACAACCTCTACGTGCTTCTCTCTTGATGCGGATTTTGTAATGTATTTGTATCAAATGTCAAACATGCATTTAAACTGGCTACGACTCGCACACTCTGTGGTAAATTATTTAGAATTATTTATGTACTCTAAAAATATATCAGCAGATATTTGTATGCAATTGTATTATTTCAGAAACATTATACTAGAAATGACTTCATCAATGCAGATGTAGCAGAAACACAACAAAAAGATTCATCATTGTA